AACAATTTGTGATTTGTTAGCGCGCGATGGTTGTTCGGCTGGCTTAGATGCTGCTGAATCACCAGGCTTTTGGGAAGGATTAAGACTATCAAGTAAAGCAGCAAGGCTAGCTTTATAGTAGGAGGCAGAGAAAATAACCAAAGTGCATAAAGAAATAATGGAAAAGACCAGTTGGTACGAAAAAATGCCAAAGAATCCTCTGGATGTGGAAGTTCCAAGCGCCTTGTTATAGAGCCCTCCGAAGAAGTTGGAAACGGGGTCAAGTAAGTCGGTGAAGATAAACAATATGATCGTGACACCGATAATCACAGCCATTCCAATCATAATGGCTTTGAGGTTGTTGATGAACCAGGCGGGCACTATAAAGTCCCAGAGACTCGTTAGCAGAGATCCAATCCAGGCAAAAAAGCCTTCGCTGCACTTCTGACAGAATTTGCCGTCTTTGCATCCTGTACCACCGGTACACTCCGTAGAGCAGGTGGTACCATTGACGCAAGTGTAATTATAGACACAATTCGTACACTTCTGACCATCGACACAATTTTTGTCCTCCTTCTCGTCACATTTCTTACATACCCAGCACTGTTTGTCAGTAATATTATGCTTGGCAGCTGTAGCCTTAAATTCTTCGTCATCTTTTGCTTTTTTAGCTTCTTCTGCTTTTTTAGCTTTGTCAGCATCCGTTTCCTCCTTCTTCTCTTCTGTCAAATCAGGGACGTTGCCATCTCCTACTTTATCAACATTAGAACCTTGGCCTGCCGTTCCTTCTTGTTGGCCGCCCGTTTGTAGGCCGACGACCTTTTGTTCTTCCTGAACATTATCAGTGTCAACAAAGGTGATAGATACTAAAAATAGGAGCGCAATAGCATAATATAGAAGTGAATTCATCGGTAAAAAATATAACCGTAAAAAGCAGGTTTTATAAGCAACATTCGTTGATTATTAGTCATCGGCCTTAAAATGTGATTGGCGTGAAAAGCGAAATCATCCAATCGATCATTAGAAAGTACATGAAAATGATTTTTAATTATCCAACGAATTAAAATGGGGGAGCAAAGCAAATAGTTTGATTGGCTGTTCCATTTGTGAGCACAATTCCTCACAAGGGTAATCCGGCCTCGTTGTACATGAAAGATGCAATTGCCTCCAACCGGCGACCAATGTCATGGATGTTTTTGAGCTGCTCCGTTGACACATTGGGCTCGGAGCTGCTTTTCAATAAATGCTTCCTGGGTTTTAATGTTTCTGGATAAACGGAATAGATAAGCTCTGCAGATTCAAGGCCCCTCAGCCTGACAGTTCCGAGAGAGTAGAAGCTTGGAAATAGCAACGAAGCTTCTAGAGAAGAGTCCTGGGAAAGCCTTTTCATACATTCTTCATATGCGTCCGAGGAGATGCATATTTGTCCGCCATGAGCTATTCCTGCGATTCTAGCAGCTCTGTTCACAATAAGGCCAAAGTAGTCCATTCGCTGTGTGATTGGATCTAGCTCGCAGATGGGTGTGCCATAGTGAATGCCCATCCTGACGGCAAGTCCCCTATAAACGGGCTTTTTATCCGAATAATTTTCCAAAGGAGTCGTCGAGGAGCTTTCGGTGTCCCTTTGCAGCTGATGGATGGATTCTGCAGAATCCGTATAAATTGGACGGCCTTCTGGGCACTCCAGCAACTTTTGAGGCCAATCGGCCTGTAGAAGCTGAATTTGGCCATAAATGCACCATTTTAGGGCAGATAGGGGGTCCGGAAATGTAACCATAAATGCGTCCCCATCCGTCTTGACCTCATAGCCTCCGATGGTTCGTAGGAGTCGTCTAAGAATGGAATTATGCACCTTAATAGCGGCTTCCATGGCAGAGGGAATTAGCTCCCAAAGAAGGGTAGACGATCGAATGTCAGTAAACACGATTGCAAGATTCCCAGTCGGTGGATCGATTTCAGTCTTCAGCCGAGCCAATGAGGAATCCATCACGGAGCAGGAAGAGGCTCCATAAAACAAGGATTCCTTTGCACATGAGATCCGTTCTTTATCGCGATCTGCAAAGTGGGGCTTCCTGATTGGAGATAGGGTTCCCGAACTTGAATGGTTAAATGAGCGGCTCCTAAGCCCACTGTCCGATCCCGAAAATGGGGATGATGTAGCCGGAGAAACGCAGGAAGATGGCGAAGCAACATGATGCGCACTCAATGAGATTATTTGTATATTGATGACGCCTTTAGACCCATATGCAATGGCAATGTCTCGCAGCTTGCTAGCAGCAAGCCTTAAATTACCACCAGTTGACAGGGCTATATCGACAGCGGTTTGCGGGTCAATCCAGGACCAAAGCTCAGCGTTTGCAAGGATTAGAAAATCGTCGTGTGGTGTTATGTGAACAATGTGAATGCTCGGGTCTGCAATGACGGATGGACAGAGTTCAAAATATCCAAAGGAACGGGTTAGCGGTGCTATCCCGTGGATCTTTCCTTGATCAACGGTAACAAAGCCGCCAGAAGAGCGAACTCTTGCACGCTCAGACCTATTGAATCCGGTATGAATCTTGGACAAGACAAGAGCATATCCAGAACGACTCAAAACGGCCAAAGAGTCCCCAATATTTGCGACAAATAAGCGTTGACACGAAATGTGAGCAACCAAAGCGGAGCATCCGGAGCCATTTGGGAATTTCAATGCGGACAAGTTGCGATTCAGGTTCAAAAATGTCGCTTTTAAGGCATCACTACTTATGTCTTCCGGTTCAAAGTACACTTCTTCCTTTGAAAGCGTCGAGGAATAGCTTGAAGTGGAAAATGGCGATGACGAAAAACAGCCATACGAGTTCTCCTGAGAAGACATGGACGAATAAATGAGATCGGATTCACGATTAGAGCCTTCAGCGGTGAAAACAATCGAGTTTCTTCGCTTCGAAACGTCCTCCCTTGAGATCTTGTAAAACGGTGTCAAGTCGAGCTTTTTCAAGTGAGAGTTCTTCAGCTCTCCATAATATGCATCCGAAAACGACTTGTAAAGAAAATATGCAACCTCGCCATTAAAATGGCCGTCAAATAGCGCAAGAAGGATATTTTCGAATCCATTTTTTTCCTTTAAAAAGGAAAAATTGACAAAGTCCCACAATGAGTTTACTTGCCTAGAGCGCAAAGGCAATGCCAATGGATTTTCGACGCCACATTGGCTTTCCGTAATGTCTCTGAAAATTTTAGAATTGACAAGATCGTGAATTGAGCAGTTACTGTATGAAGATGAGGGTTCTTCAATGGGGGCCATACAAATTGGCGGGGAACACGACGCCCCATAAAATGAGGGCAAACATGCGGATCTCGTTGAAGCGGGAAAATTATCCATTAAAGAAACTGCAGAATTTTCTTCAATCGTACTTGTGATTCTGAAAAGAGGCTCGGAAAGATTCAACATCATTCCGGAAGACTTCTTTTCCTTGATATGAGCATTTGAGTTCGATGCAATGCCTTTTTTAGGGGACTTGTCGAAAGAAAAAGAATGGCTGGAGGTAGGCGTGCATTCGCCGCCGTGTGATATGCTCGCACATTCGGAGCTTTCTCCGTTCAATAGGGTTTTGACCCTGGTTGACCAACACTCAACTGGCAATACTTCGGGAAGGCTTTTTACATTTGAGAGATCCAAAAATTGGATATTGTGCAGACCCTTAAAACTGTCCAAAAAGACCGAGTAGTTCGAATTGGAAGTATTGTCCAGAGTTTCATGGCTAAAAGAGTGGAGTTCAAACCGAGTGTTTCCAGACAAGTTGAGATAAATGAGCTCGCTGTTCCATTGCCAATGCCAGTCATAGGGCCAGTTGTTGATGTTGTATCTCAAGTGGTTGTCCGATATGTCAAGAGCAACGAGACCACTGAGCTTGCTAATTTCGGCCGGAATGGAAAGCAATCTATTTCCGTTCAAAAATAAATATTCCAAGTTATAGCAGCTTCCGATGTCTTCGCTGATGGACATTATCTCATTTCCAGAAGCAATAAATACCCTTAGCTTGAAGAGGTAGTTGAATAGCACGCTAATTTCAGTAAAAAAATTGTGTGAAATGTTAAGTATCCTGAGCTTGCTGAAGGACAGAATAAACCCAAGCGAGTCATCCTTGAGTTGGTTGTCGCTACATTGTTAACATGTCACAAATCCATACCTAACATTCAAAAGTTGCAGCCTGGGGTAGCAATCAGGATCGATGGCATCGGCACTGTGGAAGGAAAGCGAAGGGAGAGAAGATAAAAGGTTAGAACTGATGTTCAATATCAATAGCTGACGACACGAGAGCAGTGCCATCGGCAATGAGGACAAATTATTTTCGTGCAAATCCAAGCTAATTAATTTCTTAAACAGGCAAATGGAGTTGGGCAGCGAGGTTAGCTTGTTATTTGAAATGCTTAAAGAAACCAAAGTGCTAGAAATATTTCCAAATGTACAGGGCAGCTCTTTAAGCTGGTTGTTATCCAGCCTAAGCTTGACAATATTGGGGCAACATGTAAACAAGGCCTCTGGTAGCGACACTAGTTTGCTTGAGCAAATCATCAATTCAGTGAGCGTATGGAAGCAAAAGAAATTGCCGCAAATTGGGGAGGGTACCTCAATGCTACTCAAAGAGTTATTGTCCAAGTTCAGCACGGAAATGCAAGATCCCTGGGAGACCAGCTGGAACTTTGAGATCGAATTGTACTGTGCATTGATGGATGAGAGCGAGCCAGAGGACAAAAGCATATTGATGTCTGAAATATTATTGCCTCTAATATCAATGCGGTCCAGTTTGGCGAGGTTGGAAAATTGAGGCTCTAATGTTCTAATTCTGTTGTACGCTAAAATGAGAACCGTCAGATTCTCCAAGTGGCAGATTTCTTCTTGTAGCGATGTAATGAAATTAAAGGACAAGTCAAGAAACTCCAGCGATTTCAGATGAAACAACACCGAAGGCAACGTGGTGATCCCATTTGAAGACAGATTCAGGCTTTTCAGCTTTGTCAAAGTAACCAACGAAAGAGGGAGATATGACAAGTGATTGGCAGTCAAGTCCAGAGTTTCCAAATTTTTCAACAAGCACAAGCAATCGAGGGAATCTTCATTCAATAAATTGTCCCTAAGAATTAGGGTCGTTAACGTCGAGCAAAATGGGATCGATCGGGGTACCATGTCCAGCTCACAAGATGTCAGCACAATTGTTTTTAATCTGCTGCAGGACTGAATGAAATCGGTCGGGATGGAGATCATTGGATTTCGCGAGATATCAAGGATTTCTATTGAAGAAACCAACTGAAACAGCTTCACTGGAAGTACAAGCAAATTTCTTGCCGGTAATATGGCATGGCTTTGTGTTAGTTGGTAATCGGTCGGGAACACGCTAGAATCGTTCAAGTGGTTTTCGTTGGAAATCAAAGAGAGACAATTGGATGCATCTCCAGAATCAAAATAGATGAACTGGCATACATACGAGTGATCTTGAAGGCCCAGGTTTGGTAACTTTGCCAAGTCAGAATATCCGAGCTGTTCAAACCATTTTTTTTGCAGCATAATAGGCTTATCGTTGGAATGGAGGATTCTGGCTACTCCGCGATGGACTACGTACAATTCGCCAGAAGCCGAAGATGACATTGAGGAAGTTACAGGTAGAAATGAATTGGAAAATTTAGAGGACGCAATAGAAAGCAGCTCCTTGGTGGTAACCTCCAAAGCGCAGGAAACCGTGACAAACCCAAAAGGTATCGTACTGAAAGATAGCAGATCTTTAGAGCCGATCGAAGAGAATGACGAAGATTGGCATGGAAGCGAGCCTCTACGAAGAGATTTCCACACCCTGATCCACCAGACGGGATTGGCCGGTGCAAATACAGCAGGCTCTGCCAAGGCTGACGGGGAGAATTCTGAAGACAGGTTGAGTAAATTAATCTTCTTCGATAACATAGCTGCCGACCTTTGCATTGAATCTGCGCCTGGCGAATATGATGCTTTTTGAGGCTCTATTTGCGTCTCCGTGCACAGTGGCAAGGAAATTTCAGAAGAAGATACGATCTTTGGAGAAAAGTCATAGGAGCCTAGGTATTCGTACTTTAATTGGCCCTTTATAAGACCCAGATGGTCTGGGTCTAATACTCTTGAACTGTAGCTTTTTTTTGAACTTTTATCTTCAAGATGGGCCACGGCCCAAGATTCCGGCGGCAGCCAGGGATAGGAAAATGCCCTTTCCTTTACAAATGAAGAGTTTGAAAGAGGAAGCCCAGAATTGATGCTGTCTTTTTTTGCGGAGAAAAAATCTTTGAACTGGTTGGCAATATAATCAGAATGCTGCTTGAGAATGGCGTCAATATTGGCCTTAACTTTATAGTCGTCAAGATCTTCACTTTCAGATCCGTTCGTAACTTCAGAATTTGCATTTCCGCTGGTAACAATTGCATCACACTGGTTGTATGCCAGCGTAGGCGAAGAGTAAAACGGCTGTAAAGAAGCTGATGGCCTCCGGCTGAATAGTTTCCCAAACCCGCCAATGATGGACTTGGTAACTGATCTTTTATTGGATTTTCTTTCAGACTGATCTGGAATTCCATTTGGATTATATGTAGACGAGGAAGATGAGCTTAGATTTCCACCCTGGGGAAAAGGCACGTAAATTGGCCGCTTATCCATCCTTGTGCATTAAACTTTGGAAAAAATTGGTTTTGGCATTTGACCCCTGTTTTGCCATGTCAAAGCATCCATGCGCCCAATCCAACCACATTGGCAAATTGGCTACGTCGCAGCGATGGGTGGTCATACCGCCTTTCGTAGTTACGAATCTGGTAGCTTATATGGTTTCCCTAACCCTATAGCCCATACTGGCCAAGTAGGCAATTGCTAGATCCAGTTGAGATTGGTGGTGATGAGACCGAAAATCGACATGCACTACAAATCTTTTACTTTGAAAACATCTTTAAAAAGACTACCGTTCATATCTCTATGCCATCTTGTGCAAATGCACTGTGACGGATCAACTTGTAAACATTTTGGATAGATTTATACCCTCTGACGCCATTAAATTTCTTCATCAGGTCCTTGACCGTTTTTCGGCAGCTTCTGCTTGGTTCTTGTGAGTGCCCTCTATTCTCTTTGCATCGACTTTTGATTGCTTTCCTGATCAGGTATATCCGTATCCAAGTATCTTATAATTTTGCCAATGATTTCTCAAATAAACTCGGCTTGTGTTGAGAAGGGGCCTTGGGATCAACAGTCTCGTTTGTAAGCCCATCTATGGCCCCAACGAATTTAGGGCATTTTTTATGTTCTCAAGATAACCAGAAACATGACGACGGTTATTACCATCGTCTACAACACAAGTTAGAAAAAAGGAAAAAAGAGCTATGGAAGTAATGAGAAATAAAAACCTTTGAGCGCCGATTTATATAAGCTGCTTATTCGATCGATATTTCTCTTAATTGCCACATTAAGTTGTATGGCCTTTATTGTGCTATTTGTAAGTGTCTGCCCAGCCGCAGCTTATGATGATATCCCACTGGGTGTCTCATTAAACTATCCCTTCTGTTGGAAAAAAACTACAACATACAGAAAGTTCTTAAAGAGCAAACACACCCATTCATTCGTCCATCCATCTCAAATATCCAAGAAAGAAATAGATTGCGTCCATATAAAGGGTGCTTTTAAATAGATGTACATACTAGTCTTCCCGCTCAAGTGCATCTAGAATTTCATTTACGGCATATATGATCCATCTAGCAGATTCGCCCAGATCATACTACAGGCGCATATAGTAGTGCTTGACCGGCTGGTTCTTGGACTTGCTTTTAATATTGGCATCAAAATCTGATGTTGAGCGAAGCTGTGGCCGTAGGGGTAGCCCGCTGCGCATCAGACCCTTTCCTTTTCGACGGCATTCTCGACAGCTTTAATTATTTTGGATCTTTAATTTTGAAAAATATTTTTTCGTTCCCTGATACATGGACAGTATGTTACCGTTGTGTGATTTAATTGTAGTTGACCAGCATCCCAGCAACGCTCCCTTTGCATCCAAGAGTTCAACTCGTAAAATAGGTCGGGGCCGCCACTCTGGTAGGCTTCCTCCTTTTAACTATTAAGAGGTTGCCTTTTCCCACCATGCTTCCACCTCTGACTTGTCCGAGAAAGCTGCCGAGACATCTCTTAATCAAGGATCGGCTCAAAAATGTAAGCACTTGGCCCTTTGTCATACCATTAGCTATCGAAGGATGGGTATTATTTGTAACTGGCGTGCATGAGGAGGCAACCGAGGATGATTTTGTCGATCTTTTTTCCGAATACGGAACTGTAAAGGACGTGCGGCTCCCTCTTGACCATCGTACAGGTTATATAAAGGGATATGCCCTTGTCGAATATCCAACGCTAGCAGAGGCACGGGCGGCCATTTCTGCTTTAGAGGGCTCAATCTTCCTCGATTATACTCTTCATGTTTCTTTTGCTTTTTCCAAGGGCCAAACCAAGCGTCTGAATAAAGAGTAAATTCAACCCAACTTGGCACCTTAGTTTTTTGGACATTTATTCGGATCTGGAAGGAGGTGGCGACGCTCGATGTCTCTGATCAAACTGATTGCCTCGGATTTCCTGTGTAGGATGTGAGATTCCGAGGAGGGTTTGCGCTCTTGATTCTGTAAGATTTCTCGGATGTTTTCCAAAGAATTGGAAAGATAAAACGTGCTGGCAGAAAGCCGACAATTAAAAATGGCCCCCAAATCCGGGCTTTGATAGATGATTCCATCGCCAAGCGAATACCACGACCCTATGGTCACCGGGCCTATGGTCAAAAACACTCAGGCTGTACTGGTCTCTTTGTTCTGCCTTAACATTTTCTTAACAATAAACTTTGGAAAGCTAAAGTTTCCGTTTTCTGGGTGGTCGGTATCCTGGGAGTAGTCCGTTGCGATATAATGAATCCCCTCCAGATCCCTATGCCTAAAAAATGATTCCAATACAATAGCATTTTCATCGACATCGGATACTCGTCGCCACTTTTAACCGGGACCTCGTCAACAAGCAGCCCTTGCATCCGAAGGATTTCGTTGTTGCAAGATCGGTCATAAAATGGCGATAGCGAAAAGTATTCCATTATATTCGTGGGGAACAGTCCATAGAACTATTTATAAAGAATATTTCGTACTTCCAAAAAGCCCAAATCATAAAAATAGGCTCTTTTCAGCGATTCTGAAGAAAGCGGCTTTGCCTCCTGCGGCGCGGAGGATTCCTTGGACATTGCAGTTGTCACTTTGGACAAACAAATAATAAATAAAAACTTTATTGAATTTCGCCTGGTTGCAAAACCATTTCTAGTAGCATTTCTCTAATTTGAATAAATAGGTTGGGAATGTGGATGATTGCAAGCATCGATGTCTCTGAGATGACATCAAGTCCGGTGGGAAGAGCTCCCCTGTGTTTAATATAAGCCCTCAGCTCTCCAATGCGAGAGATGTGCCTTTCTGAGCACCACATTCTTATTTCGGAAAGGTACTTCTCGGGAGTGCCCTCAAGGCTATTGGAAAGGGCATCCACAATGCTCATCGATTCGGGCAACAATTTCATTGGCGATGAGAAGCATGTCGACAAAATATCGTCCGCGTGTAGCCTAAATATCGACCAAATGCACCGATTGCTCTCATTGGTCAAAATGCTCGATTTTGGATTAGGATGGTGTGAGCTTTTCATCCCAGCATGAACGTCTATTATGGAAAAGGTGGATGAATTTAGTGCTCTGATCGATAAAATTGATTCAAAGAAAACAGCCAAGAGACTCCACCTGTGATCTAAGATAAGAACTGATGCGGCAATTGGGAACAGCCGTGGCGAGGTCCACGGAGATTTGAACAAACGCTGGTCTTCGCCCAAGCCTAAAAATAGCTGCAACAGAGCCTCATTTACCCGAGAACGGCCATCCAGCAGGGGGACACACTTGAAAAGCGAGAGGATCATTCCGACGCTAAGATCGTCTTGCCCATGGCCCCATGAAAAGTGATAGTAATAAAAGATAGGTAAAAGCAGAGAATTCCTAGTTGCTTCATAAATAAAGTTCCAGTAGTATTTACAAAATGAGGAGGAAGATGACGATGAAGGCAAAAGTAGCAATTTTGTCCTTATTATCAATTTGCTAAGGCCAATGTCAAAGATGCGTGGAAAGAGCCTACGCACAGTTGATGGGTTGAAAAAGGCAGCCTCTATCACGTTGTTGGCAAATTTCTTGTCAATGAACAGTTCATCGCTTTGGGAATAAAGATCCTGAAGCAAGGGAATTATATTCCAGTCGGAAATGCCAACCAGCGACCGCATTGGGAGCCTGATAATAAAATCGGATCTGAATGCATCGCCGCATAAAGATAACAGGAAAAGTACAAAGTCAATATTTCTATGGTACAGCTTCCAACATCCAAAATTGTCGGCAACCACGAAAAGGGCCTCTTTCAATACAGCAGACTTGTGCGCCTTCAGTGACAACAAGATCCCAAGCAGCTGGGGGAAAAGAAGCATCCTGCAAAAGACGCCAACCAATGAGATTATCATCGATGAAATAAAAGTAGACGATCGTTCGTCCACGCCACATTCACTGACCTCGTCATAAAAAAGCTGCAAAACACCAATGTCCCTTTCGAGAGCAAAATGCCGCGTAATTGTTTCGAGCAGTGCTTTGATGTGTGGATCATCGCTATAAAGAAATTTAGATTTCGCCCTGGCATACACTCCAATCATCGCCTCGCGGTCTCTTGAAGATGACGACTGCACAATGGCCCATCGATAGCATTCAGCAGGCAATGAAATATTAAATGCCCTCTCAGACCGTATAATGATATCGGCAAGCGTCGGTATTTCCGATCCTATTTTAACCCGGTATTTGGAGAAAGAAAAAAAGAAGCTACAAAAGAAAGAAGGAGGCCAATGGTATTTTTTTGGATTCAAGAGCATTTCGCCGGGAAATGTCTTAAGATACGGATTTAGCTTGTGTTTCATCCCTGGCGTATCAAGCTCTGCAAGCATTTGATAAAGAATTAGGTGCTTTTCATAGCTATTGTTTGAATGCAAATAGGCAAGGAAAAATGCCAATTTAGTGTTGGGGCAAGCCATGCATTCGTCGGCCAATGTTTTTGTCGGTGAAAAGGCCTTTAAATATATGTATCTGCTTAGACGATGCAAAATCGATACCATGAGTCCAGAGGGAAAGATTGCAGTTAGCCGGTTTAAAATAAGCCGGATTTCTTCCGTAGTGCTTACGTAGTTCATTGAGAGCAAGTGGGAAATTGCCAATCGCGCCTCAATCCCATTTTTCAGTGCACATGCGGCTTCAACAGGATTTACAGAATTAAAAAAATTGGCCGATAGCAACGAGGAAAAGCATCTTCCGAAAATAAGCCTTCGCATCAAAGAGAAATGTCTTTCCCCAAACTGGACGATCCCAACGAGTTCAAATTAACGGGCCTTAAACTTTTAAATTCAATTTGCCATCCAAATTGAAAATTTTGTTGGTGATAACGAAAATTTATCAAGATCTTAAACCCTAATGTGGACCAATTACCTTATACTTTTTTATCTTGTTGACAAATAGGACAAATTAATGGTGTAGTAGCCTTTTGCTATAAATACTCGCGAAGCCGTTTTTAATATCAGGATGACAAAGCCGTATGTAACGAATTGCTTAACGCCCGTGAAAAATGATCAAAAAACAAACCTTGAAAAGATGAAGCAAGTCAAAACGAATGTCTCGACTTTAGCCAAGTCAAATCCATCGGATCATATCGAGCTTGCAAGAGAACTGCTGGCAGATGCCCTTCGAAGGGAGGCTAGCATGTCTTCACAGAAAATAGTCGAACCGTTTCCAGAAGAGCTCGTTACTGATTCTCTCAAATGGAGTGAATCGGAAAGACAAAGACACTTTGAGAATGGGCTATCTCTTATCGCTCAAGGAAAAGTTGCCGTTGTAACGCTTGCCGGCGGCCAAGGAACGCGATTAGGGTCTTCTCATCCAAAGGGCTGTTTTGACATCGGACTGAAGTCAAACAAAAACCTATTTGATTTACAGGCAGGCCGAATTCAAAGGTTGGAAGAGCTGGCTAGAAAAACTTTTCAATGTAAATCTCAAAATGCAGACACACCGTTAATTAAATGGGCCGTTATGACAAGCCCAGCCACCCATCAGGAAACGGTCGCTTTTTTTAGGAAACATTACCCGAGCAATAAAGCTCCGCTGTTTTTTATACAAGGGCAATTGCCCTGCTTTCGCGAAGAGGCGCCAAACGAAATTTTGAGGAATTCATCCTCCGATGTATGCAAGGTTTTTTTTCTTTAGGAAATCATTGTTTCTCCAGATGGCAATGGTGGTGTATTCCAGGCTCTTAAGCACAGCAAGATTCTTGAAGCTTGGAGGGATGCTGGGATCCTTCATGTTCATGTGTATTGTGTTGACAATGTATTGACTCGGGTTGCAGATCCGTATTTCATATCTGTGTGTGCGCAGGCAAATACGCCTTGTGGAATTAAGGTACACATGGTGAAGTTTTTTATTCGCAATTAGGTTGTGGAAAAAATAAATCCCTCTGAAAGGGTGGGTGTGTTGGCTCTAGGAGCCCGAGAATCACCGCCCACATCATCTGCATTGAACCTTGGAATCCAAATGGTGGAATACTCCGAACTTTCACCAAAGTTGGCATCGCTTACAAAGGAGCGCGGCTCCTCGTTAGTATATAGATTTGCAAATATTGCAAGCCACTATTTTTCGCTTGACTTTTTGGAAATGGCTGCAACAAGGCTTGATAACTCCTCTAAAGCCACCCAAGCGACAATCCTACCTGCGCACATTGCCAGGAAACATATTAGAGTCTATCCTGATGCCACCGTTTCAGGATTAAAGTTAGAAAGATTTATATTTGATATTCTTCATCTGCTCCCCTCGCCGAAAGACCTGGCTGTGATGCTAGTTTCTAGAAAGGAGGAATTTTCTCCTCTCAAGAATGCCTCTGTTCCGGGAAAAAAAGAAGAGGGTACTCCAGAAAGCTGTAGGGATGCACTTTATGAGCAATTCCAGAGATTATTTGACAAGGCTAACCTCTCCCCCGTCGTTTCTAACGAGGTTGTTGAGATCGAGCCGTATAAATGGTACTTTGGGGAGCCCATTTCCGATCTTGACGTTTTAAGGGACATTTTGGCAAAAAAATAAACATCCACAACAATTGATAGCCGGCCGGTCGCTTTCATAGGCTAAATGCAACACATGGTCTCGCCATTGGATCACAACAGGTCTCGCCATTGGATCACAACAAGTCTCGCCATTGGATCACAACAGGTCTCGCCATTGGATCACAACAGGTCTCGCCATTGGATCACAACAAGTCTCGCCATTGGATCACAACAAGTCTCGCCATTGGATCACAACAGGTATCGTGATTTTGAGATATGCTTTTCGCAGATAAAAAATAAGCGTGTTTTTTGTTTATGTTTAATTCTTTGCATTCAGGGGCAATATCGATGGCAAGTTTATTGGAGTACATGGCCAGTTTCAGATGCGAGTTTTGAAGAAATTTATCTGATTGGCTCATATTGTATCAATCAATTCTGATCATAATTTGTTCCGTCCTTTTTAGCAGCAATATTTATGTTAGAAGGCTCAAGTAGCAACATCCACTCGTATCAGGCACCATGCGGCGACAGATCAAATACCGTGCCAAAAACTAGCAGCCGGGGCAGGATTTACAGGAAAAGGAAAATCCTCCTATTTTTGGCACTAATTTTGTTTCTTTGTATGGCCAAAATTTTTATAATTTCCTAGGCGGTGTTATTTTCATATCCTTCTATTATTCACCAAGTTTATTGAATACCTCTTCATCGACTGGAAACATCGGGAAACAGTCAAAAACGGTGCCCATTGGGGTGTACACCAAAGCTGCCGTATCAAGCGAGGTTGGTCTGTGTTCAACAATTGGAAAAAACACCCTATTGGCCGGGGGAAGTGCTGTGGATGCCGCCATTGCTTCCTTAGTATGCATAGGGGTCGTAAATAATTTTTCATCTGGAATTGGAGGGTATATTTTGGCTGAAAAGTGGTAACATGTAGGGGCGGCTTTATCCTCATCAGAGAACCAAATGGGACAAGCATAGTGATCGATTTTCGGGAGACAGCACCCTCTCTTGCATATAAAGAAATGTTTGAAAACGATGTAAGCCAAATTGTTAAAGGCCCTCTATCTATTGCCATTCCAGCAGAAATAAAGGGCTTTTCAGAAGCTCACAAAAGGTATGTGTAGCGTGCATTTACCGAACATGTTAGATTTGGAAAATTACCGTGGAAAGATCTCTTTTGGCCCTCAATTAAGCTAGCAAGGGAAGGGTTTAGAGTGCCATCGGAATTGGCAATGCGTTTAAAGGTATCAGAACAATTGACCCTCATTAAAAGAAATTCGAGTCAGTTATTCTCAACGAGGAGGGATTATCAAAAACATATACCAGAAACGGGTCCGTCTACAGCGAGGGCGAAATCCTAAAAAGAGGAAATCTAGCCTCGACACTTGAACTTATCGCTGAACAGGGAGCAGATGTGTTTTACCATGGCCAACTAGCCAAGACTATGGTAAAAAACCTAAGAAAAGCGGGGGCAATTATTAGCCTGAAGGACCTAGGATCATATAACGTCGTCATCAGGAAGCCCTTGGAAGGTTTTTATCGCGACCGAAAAGTGATCACTGCTGGTATTCCTGCAAGGTATGCATGGAATTCGTTTATTTCAGTGGCTCCATCGTGCTTCAAGTGCTAGGAATTTTGGAACGCTTCAAATTGAACCGTAATACAGTGGAAAACATCCATATACTTGTTGAGGCTTTGAAGCATGGCTATGCAAGCAGATCTCTTCTTGGTGATCCCGTTCCCCCATTCAAAGTACGTAAAGCCGTTTTTTATGCATTAGGAGACTCTCGAAGCATTCGAGAAAAAAATCGTCTCCGCAGGCATGGCTGATATGAAATCCAGCCTCATTTCAAAGGCATGAAGATTGGTAGATTTTTATTGTTAGGAGCAAACGTTTCCGCCCGAATATTATGACGTGCAGTTTGAGGAGAAAGATGATCATGGAACTACCCATGTGTCCGTTCTAGATGAACACGGCATGGCGGTATCTTGTACAAGCACGGTAAGGCCCATCGCACGTTTATAGCACTAATTTACCAGGTAAATCTGGAGTTTGGAAGCAAAGTGTTGGACCATGAGACTGGAATCCTCTTTAACAATGAAATGGACGACTTTTCGTTAAGTTCTTTTAATAATTCGTTCATCCTGCCTCCAAACCCGCATAACTTTATTGGTAAGAAGGGCGAACATCGTTCTCACTAAATATCAGGGCCTAGAAAACGGCCTGCTTCTTCTAGCAGCCCACTGATCATACTTGGAAGAAATTCGTCAAAAGTGGAGGCAGTGCTTGGCGGCGCTGGCGGGTCTAGAATCATATCCGCAACCATACAGGTTAGAATGCAACAAGTAAATAATCTGCTAGACCGTTATCAATCTTTTCGACTACAAGATGAATGCAGAAGAAAGTGTTTCCCACCTTCGGCTGTATCATCAATACAAGCCAGACTTTGTTCGTTCTATACCCGATTTTCTAATCCCAATAGGTTGAATTGGAATTTGGTGCAGATACCAACATTGTTAAACATTTGAAATCGAGGGGCCATATTGTGAACATTCTTTCTGCATTTAAATATTTATCAATGGTACAGCTAGTATACCGGAATCCGGTCAATGGAGTTATCGAAGCCGTCTCGGATCCCAGAAAACAAGGTGCACCCGATGGCTACTAATAAATTTTACTTTTAAAAAATGGCATTTTAATTGGACATTACCAGCAACAGACCAATCAATCAACGATGCACTTTTCGACCCATCCTCAGGCAATTAATGCTGTGAAGCTTTACAAAATGCTGCTAAAAGAAGCCAGAAACTTTCCACAATATAACATACGCGAGTATGCGATCAGGAAAATTAAGCGGTCCTTCTCGGAGGGCAGAAACTGCTCTCCAGAAGATGCACAGCGACTATTTCGGGAGGGCACGAATTCTTTGGAGCTTTTGAAAAGGCAATCTGTAATTTACTCTCAATATTACTCACCCAGATCCGCCCAGTAGACAAAGTATTGCCGATTGATTTTAAATTTATAAACCACCATTTCAATTTTAAGGTTTTGCCGGTGCATACGAGACTTTTAATCACTTTAACTTCAATGAAAGCAAGTATGATCTTGCGTTCACACAAGAGATTGTTCTCGCTGATGTCATCGAAAAACCAGGCGATTTTGCCCGATCTTGACTATGATTACAATGCCTTGGAGCCTTATATTTTTGCAGATATCATGCGGCTTCACCACACAAAGCATCACCAAGCCTATGTGAATGGCTTCAATACGGCAATGGAACAGCAGCTAAAGGCAGAGTCCACAAACGATATTGGCGCTCTGATAGGCCTGCAAAGCATGATCAAATTCAATGGCGGTGGCCACATAAATCATTCGATTTTTTGGAAAAACCTGTGTCCCACGAAAGATTTCGCAGAGCTTGATCCAGGCAGTGCGCTGTACCAGGCCATTGGCCTTCAGTTCGGCTCGCTCGAAAATATGCAAAAAACGCTATCCGCAAAGGCGGCAGCGGTCCAGGGATCCGGCTGGGCATGGCTTGTATGCTAGCTTTATTAATTCGAACGCATAGGGGTTTTGCAAAGACAGAAAGCAGCTCGTTATGACGACCACTCCAAATCAAGATCCCCTCGCGACAGTAGGATTGGTGCCGCTGTTGGGCATTGACGTGTGGGAGCATGCATATTACCTGCAATATAAGAATGTGAGGCCCGACTATCTCAAGGCAATATGGAACATTATAAATTGGAAAGACATTGCAAGCCGGTATCAATTGGCCAGCAAATAGGAGCTTTGATAAAACGAGTAAAATCAATAAAATGGATTTATCGCAACTTTGTCATATTTGATTGATCAATTTCATTTTGAACAAACATCAAAAGTTGGCGAGTCTGGAATGTCTTTTGCTGTGCGTGCAAAGCTGCTTTCTCCAGCGGTGGCGTCGTTTTTCATCAGTGGCATTCTTTTTTATCTGATTTTCCTCTATTTTTCAACCAAATTCGACGAATCCAGGGAGCATGTGTCTTTTATGCGGCCAAAATACGTTGAAATTGTAAATGATAACCCCGGCCATCCCAATCTTCCGTACCGCCTATTCTTGTACATAGAAGCTACAAATGAGATCAATTTGCAAAATGAAAACCTAAACCAGGTAAATGGCAAAAATTTTAATAATTTTTCGCGGTTCAATCGGTTGTTTTCTGGAATCCCCGTGATCTTCATCCACGGCAATGCAGGAGCTTTGCATCGTACTCTGAAAAGATAAAGTCGCGTTTCGACATAAAGTTTGACTATTTTTGCATTGATTTTGCCGAGGAGCTCAGTGCCTTTTCGGGGCAAATTCTCGAGCGTCAAGTAGAGTATTTGACAGAAATCGTCAAATTTCTTTCTGGCCTCTACTCTTCCATTGGAAATAAGCAAGAAATCATTCTTATTGGACACTCCATGGGCGGAATAGTTGCTAAAGGTGCTGTTTATATGGATCATCAACTCTTGGCCCACGCCGATGTACCGTCGGCAGTGAAAATGGTAATCACTCTCAATACTCCGCACGCACGTTGCTTGGGAGCTCTTGACCGCAAGTTTGAGGATCTTTTTTCCAAAATACATCAAAGCCACCTTTCAAAGATTGTTCGCATCCCAAATGGCGATGCTGGCGCGAATGTCGTTCCTCCGCTGATTTCGTTCTCTCCAGGCACTAGAGACATTATTGTCCCTTCTGAGCTATCAATCGTTGAGGAAAGCGATCTGCAATTTACTCTGAATGTGATGACCTCCGAAATGCCGCTGGTTTGGGCATCGATGGAACATCAAATGTCGGTTTGGAATTTCCCCTTCATAAAGGCTGTTCACATTGGGCTCATTTTTGGCCTTCAAAACGAAAAATTGAGAAACAGAAAAAATCCCAGCCTATCTTCAAAGGCGTTATTATCGGACCTATCAACATATTGGAAAAGTGGCAATATCATCGACGACGAACCCGATGTTTCGAACATTCCAGCCAGGGAAGTATCATATTCAAGCACCAAATCGGGTCGGGATGATATCTATTATCAGGAGATCCTTTTGCCTGCAAATGGGGACATTTATTTGGACCATAATGACTTGGCAGGGCTCATCGGAAACAATCGACATTTTGCGCTTATCTTAAAAAGTGCCTCATCAAGTGCAGCCCAATTTTCGACGAGCTTACAGCCCGTTAAAGATCATATCATTATTGAAAATATCACGTCAATTGAGGTGGAAAACGGAAAATTACGAGCAGTATCTGGGCTCATGGGCCCACATATGAATCTTCCAGAGTCTTTTTACCCCGCTGGTTCGAAATCTTTTTGTCTCAATTCGGTATATTCATCCATTAACATCCCGTTCCATTCGCAATTGAAAAGGGATATTATCTTGCCTGCGATGATAATCATTCTGCCTTTCAGGGCAACATCCTTGGATCAAAGCTACATGTTTCTGCCCCCGAGTCATTCGGTTTTCGAATCTTTTTCTCCATTTGTTAATTTTTCAGGTAGCAACTCGTATTTAGATTCCATGGTCCATTCGGAAGAGACTCAATTTTTGTCTTCCAAGCTAAACTACCACCAAAAGTCCCGCTTTTCAAGTTTATTGTCTTGGGCCTCTTCGCCGTCATCTTATATTTCCATCATTAGCAATAAGAAATCCTTGCCTGTGGACCCGAGCGCTGCAAAACTCTCGGTAAAGCTATCGTTTGGGCTTTTGGATTATTTTTTTGCATATTTCCTTAATTATGATGCCATAAGCGTTGCTAGCTCATCTTGTTCAATGTCACAAATCAAAATCTCAATACTTAACTTGAGGCCAAAGTATCAAGTTCTTCGCCTTACCGTGTTTCTTAGAGCCAAATCAGATGTGATCGCCAATTCACCACCCAATGCTATCCAGGCTTTCTTCCATTCGCAAGTTGAAAAGAAATATTTAGATATTAAGCCAGAATCGGTCGTTACAAGGGGCGGATCAAATACCTACCGCTTTTCGCATTTAATTTCATTGCAAGATGCCAAGCCCGGGGCTCCTCTTGATCCCCTAATCATTAAGATGCTAATTGATCCACGATACGAAGTCCACGAATCGATCCTGTTTACTCCGGAAAAGCTTTTGGGGATTTCTCTGGCTTTCAAATGGTATTTTCCGTGGATAATGTATTTCTATCCCGTCATATTTTGCCTCTTTGCTGTTTCGCTACAGGCCTCTGCTAATAGCAAGCTTCCGGTGAGGAAAATGATCTTTTGCATTGCTGTAAATTGCCTGGCCATCATGTTTCTTAGGATGTTTCTGCATTTTCAAATGAATATTATTCCATCAAGTCTGGAGTATCTATTGATGCTGATGTCTCTTTATTTTACGGTGTCCTTTTTGTCGATCACCGAGATCACGATGGAACTGGTCTGTGTGGTGTTTGAATCGCTTTACTATTTGCTTGGATCCAAAAGTCCATTTAGCTTTGTTCTTTTTTCTATTTTCAACCAGCTCGACAGGTTGGTTCTGCGAGTCGGGTTGTTTTTATACGTTGTCTTTCCCTTTCACCCAAACTTGTTTATTTATTTCCTCGGCGTCATATATTTCCATACTAGGAAGAGGTCTTCGAGTATCTACTCTGGTTTGATTTGCTCATTATCTTTGTTTGGGATGATGTCTTCGGTGCATAGTGCCATGATTCTTATCAAAGAGCTTGGTTGGAAATGGAAAAGCCATCCATTTTCGTACTTTCCCAATGAATCGCTGGTTCTGCTTTTTTTTGAAACATCCACCTTCAACAGACTAATTAACATGCTGCCAAAAAGACTTATCGGGCCGCTTTTGATGTCCACTACTTTTGCCTTATGGCTTGTAACCATTTGTACAAATCCAGTGCTGAGTGCTTGTAGAATTTACATTTATCCGATCGTGATCTATGTTTTCTTACTTTTCTTGCAGAAACATCGGTCTTTAAATAAATGTCTTTAGCCAGCCAGTCGAGCATCATTGCACACGAAATTGGGAGTGAATTTTATCGAGGCCGGTGCGTTGAATGGCCATTGAACTCACTTGCTGTTGTTTTGATGACCGAGGTATTTACCCAGATACAGAATGCAGCTGTACGCACGTTCCCTTGATGGTGAAAGCGAGCGTCCCCTTAGCACTGCTAAAGATGGGGCATAAGGAAAAGATCCTAGCGGCGGCAATCCTCGCGGTGGAAACGATAGTATGGTGGGTCCAATGGTACATTTAATCTAACACGCCCAATCTAACGCTATTGTGCAAACATACGACGTGATCAAAGATTTAAATATCAGGCAATATCGGAATATGAGGAGATGGCTCTTGGCCGGCCGCTGGAGATGCTCACAGATGTAGAGGCCCTGGAAAAGGTCTTGAAAACCACAGGCCTTGATGCTGCCGGCAATTGGGCGGAATTCGCAGCAATGGTATCTTCAGCACCTCCATCGAGCTTTTGCTGTTTGGGATTGCTAGAGGCCGCTTTTTCCTTGAACCTTTCAAAGGCGCGACATGCGAGATGCTCACCAAGCGCTCCAAATTCGGTTTGAAGCGTAGGAATCCACACCTGATCTCGGAAAGCAACCCAGGTGTCGTGGGCTAGCACAAACGAGCGGTTGGACTTGAGATAAGTCTTGAATTCATCATAAAGCACCCTTTTGGCGGCATGGCTCCTTTTCTTTTCCTCGCGCTTTTGCGAAAGCAGAGCATCTGCACATGTAAAGTACACGAGGCGACGAAGTCCTGTTCTGTAGTTTTTCTCCAGCATTGCAGTTGGAATTCTGGAAGACAGAGAAAAGGGGCGCAACGAAAATTCTTTATCACGCAAAGGAACAATTTCTCTGAAATCTCTGCACGAAAAAAAGAGATTTTCTAAATGATGGAAAAGAGACTGAACAAAAGACTTGATTGCGCGATTTCTTGGCGAAATCGGAGAAAGCCCAGAAAAAACCTCTGAACGTTGCGAGATCTCCTCAGCGTGGATGTAAATATTAGCAAGAGCCTTTGGATCTGTAAGGATCTCGTGCGGATATTCTTGCAGGTATCGATTAACTTGGGCGTTAAAGGCGCTCTGTTCGGCTTCAAGCCTATCAATGACATCATAGAACAGATCCAGTGGACAGCTGCCACTTGCGTTTTTTTCAAGCAACTCTTTGAATACGGGAGAATCCTTGATTATTGGGTAAGCATTTTCAATCCACTGGGACGACGAAGTCAGTAGCCCCTTGTGGACCAAGGACTCCAAATGCAAAGCGAAACAAATTCGTCGTCTAATTGCATCAGCTCTTTCCTGTTCATTCCTTCGTCGCTCTTCAAGGTAAAAAGCCTCCTGGTCTTCCAACACAATGCTCTCATATGCAAGTAAAAGATCCAATTTGGAGATGGCGTTAAAATCCGGATCCTCTTGATGCCATTCATCCTGCTGCTCAAGTTGAGGCATTATGGTGTCCCACGAACACGTATGGAATGACCACTTGATCTTTTCAAGCAGCATACGAAGTTTTCCCTTGATTTTCTTTTGCATCTCCAGCTCCAAGGCATGCTTTTCTTCTCTCAATTTGTCTATTGTCTCTTCAAAAATCATTTCTCGCTCCCTTTCAGAAGAAAGGGCCAGAAAAGCCGGCTCGCCAGTGAATAGCGGCATAACGGAGCGCCATCTTGTAGTGAGGTGGATTTTCGGCGTTTTTTCTAAAATCGCCTTAAATGCCATGCGTTTCTCTTGTTCTGCCTTTTCCGCCAAGGTCCTTTCTCGCTCTCGTTGCAACACAAGATACTTTGCAAAAGCCTCCTTTCGCTCCGAAACTGTCTTAAGGGCGGAGGAATAGATTGGATCGTTGATAATTAATCGAAGGGCCGATTCCCATGTGTAGTCGGAAGAAATTCCCGATTTTCGGAGAAGATAGAAAAACTGATCTTCCGGGATCATCTCTGCGATCTCCGATGCCCTCAGTTGTGGAACCGTATTTTTGGAAAGAGGATGTGTCCATGAAGATTTTTTGGCTTCAGAATTGAAGTAATATATTTTGCCTAGCGAAAAAAGTAAAAATAGATGCAATACCTTCTGGTGTCTTAAAGGCGCTCCACCCTGCAGGCAAGGTAGGATCCTCGACCACGACATTGGCAGGCTTTTTTTCAGAGGCATCAAGCTCGGTGGGGATTACCCACGAGCTTTTCTTGGTTTCCTTGTTATAGTAATATGTTTTTCCTTCTGCCGTTTTGTGAACACTCCATGCGGAAGTAAGAGGCCGTTCAGATTGCCCGTCTGCATTAAACGGAGCTTGGTTTTCGCTCATCGTAATGATATCAAAATTAAAATTAAATAAAATTTGCAGCCAGTTTTTCAACTTGAAATTTTAATTGCCGTATTGGAGGGGGGCGGGGTAGCCTTACCGCTACATAAATACGAGCTAAGAATCAAAGATACATGGCAAATATCGGATTCGACTAATTTACTAATAAGCAATGAAAAAATTCGCAGCACACCGTAAAAAGCGTCCTGTTGCAAAGCTTTCGCAATTTGAAAACAAAATGTTTTCATCAAATTAAGCATTTAAGCAATGGTCCCGGAATTGGAGATCATTTTTGCCATTTATCTGGCCCTTTTAAATCTTTAACCAGTCTTTTAAGAAATTCAACAAGCGAATGTTTGCGCGTGGGCTATGTAGATCCTGTAGATCAGGTGAATTCGGTAGGATCCTTGGATCTGGATTTTTGCTCTAGGTCTCTAGGAAGAGGTTTGGCCCAAATCTTTTCGCAATGTCTGCACTTTGTCACGGTCTGCTTTCTTCACACCACGTGGCATTTCATTGACATTCCGATATGCACCAATCATTGATTTGGGCATTTGCAATTTAAATAACAATTTGGAATGCTAGGGTTGCTTGTCAACTTTATATATTTTAAAAGGCTTTATGATAGACAGCGTCGCATGGGCTACCGTCTGCACGTATGGGGCCTCTTTGAGCGCTTTGGATAGGAAGGTTTTCAGGGAAATCAAGAACATGGATCGGGATGCTTCTTACCTTGTTCTGGCACATCAGGTCCTCTTTGCAGGTCGAAACACCCAGTCTTTGGCTTTGGAAGGTCCAGCCCCAAAACCAAACACCTTGTTCAAGCTGAGTGACCCTACTGCCTGGATATATTCGCTCAACAAAAGTAGGCTGTACAAAACGATTCAGTTTTTCCCGCTGCATCTTTGCCTCACCCCTGCTGTTGGTACCGGACATCGCTGTAGCGACGAAAACCCTGCATTTCCCTTTATGGACGAAAGTATTTATGATCCAGAATTTTTGGTGTATTACCTTTTGATTTTGCTTCGGTATCACCCCTGCAACGTGGCCGCTGATCGCAAGTTTCTTCGACTATTCTTTTCACACCACTGCTTTGCTGTGTTGGTCGTGATGCTTTCTTCAGAATGTCCTTATATGCGAGAGGGTGCCTTCCAATGTCTTGATATTTTTTCTAAAAGAATATTTCTCCTTCCAAATATCGTAAACGAGGATTTTCCAGAGATGCGGCTTGTACGATGGCTCTCCACACTTGTACAGAATATCTTTTCCGAACAAGACCGGCGGGACGTTTCATCTGGCAAGACACAGCTGGCCCCCATTGTTGCAAGGCTATTTGCCGAATATGCTAATGTATTAACGGTTGAAAACCATCAGCAGCCATCTGCTTTGTCGTCTTTGCCGAGCTTTTCGATCGCTCTTTATTCGGAGCTGGTAAAAATTTTAATTTCTCATTCGACTTTGATTTCGAACGACCTTCCTATTTTTACCAATTTCTGGTTTTCTACCATCCCAGAAAGTGCGCCCGTCAAAAGATCATTCATATTGAAAATCCTTCGCCAAGGAATGAAAAATTCGCTGGATGAAGAGATCTTTCGCAAAAGGCATATCATCGAGCACCTGCTGGTTCACTTGCTTTCAATATCGAGCGCATCTTGCTTGCCGGACATGGTTGCCATTCTCGAGGTACGAGCTTTTTATTGAAATTTCCTGTAGTGCATCCAATCAAGCATAAAGATTGGCGGCCAGCCAATAATAGAAAAGTTTGTCAAGCAACACTCGATCATTTCTAATTTATTTATTTTATTTTCATATCAACTTCCACTGTTATGTTCAAGCAAAAACGAGCTTGTCATGTTGAGCAAATCGATTGCTTTGGATATCATACTGAATCTTGAATGCTGTCTTTCGGAAAATGGAAACCTTTCGCCTACCGAGCGGATTTTCTACGCCTTTCAGCATGCATCGCTCAAGGAATTACTGGCAACTGGCGACAAAAAAGTGGCCAATTAATCCCATCAAAAGGCAACTGGTCAAATTTGTCGATATTTTCAAATTAATTGCAAATAAATGCATTTAAAAGGCCTTGGCATTGTGTACACACCAATGGGCCGTCAAGGAATAAATGCACCGGTGTGTTACGGGCAGTTTAAAGTCCAACTAAAAGTTTTCATCATCATGATGATGATGATGATTTAGGGTCAATTTAAAATCCACTCGATTTTATATTTTCATTCGATGTCCTTTCAAATGCCATCATTTTCCTCGATTGGTAGTATATTGGAATCTTGCGATTCCGATGGCGATTCCAATTCTTCGTATATTTCATTTGCACCTGAGATCAATGCTTTGGAAATTTCCATTGAAGAGCTAAGGGTAGCTTTGCAATGGTTACCTTTTTAGGCTCTTGAACTTGTATATGAAAAAGAGACAAGGGATGGTAAAAACGGGCCAACAGACGATGTCACTTTTTCCTATGCATGGGGACTGACTCGCAGTAAGTACCAAAATGACTGCAAGAAAGGCATACTTATGCTGAAAGGTTGTCCTGTTTCTCTGATCGATAGAGTTGCTCGAGCGATCTCCAGATAGAAAGCGAGATTGTCTATATTATTTGGCGATTGCTTACTACCGCCAAGATGATCTCGTGGCTGCCAGAAAATGCGTAAACGACCTCTTGGCTTTCGAGCCAACCAATGAACAGGCACTTGCCGTACAGCGCCTGATAAAAAAGAAAATTTCGAGAGGTTCCTGGATGTCCCTTTCATTTGTGTAGATGGTCTGATCGGGATTGCTATTGTGGGCGGCGTTGCTGCTGTCATCACCGGAACCCTATTTACCCTGTTCTCATCAAGGCGTTCTGATTGATACCTGGCTAGAGAGGAGAGGGGACGTTGAGTTTTACTTGTAAATTTTCAAGATTTTTAGTGTAGGAAACATTTCCGGAATAAAAATTTAAATCCCATCCCCATTGACACCATGATGTTTCCAAAGGAAAAAATTGTTACAGCCGCCTGCTCACAGCCTTCTGCCAGACTAAGATACGTCCCCTATGCAAAGAGCCATGTTCCAAGGTATCATCAGTGGATGTCGGATCCAGAAAATCTTGGTAATCAATCTCCATTCATCCTCTCATAGAGAACACATCTTCGGAATGCTTTCCATCTATTGAGGAGCAATATCAATGCCAAGCCAGATGGGAAAGGGATCCTGAGATGATCTCAATCATTGCAGAGGATATTTACGATAACACGATGGTTGGGGATCTTAATGCAACGCTATGCCCGGTCGAGGAATTCCAGCATCCCTCACTGTCGGCAGATCTGGTGATCGAGCTTCAGGTGATGATTGGCGACTCTCAAAACAGGAGAAAGGGATTTGCAAAAGAGTCATTGGAGCATTTGATTTCCCATGTCGGTATGCATTGTTTTAACGCTTTAGAAGCCGTACTGAATGGACAGGAAATCTCGTGCATTGCAATTGCAAAGATCCTAGAATCGAACGACGCCAGCATTGGGCTGTTCAAATCGCTGAATTTCAAATTTCTCCGAAAAATTGAAGTCTTTCAAGAGTGCTGGTATTATCGCCATTTGTTTGGCCCCAACATTTGACATGTCAAAATCGATGCTTTATCATGAAAATTTATCTTTGGATCGTTTATAAGAAGATGCATCGATGCGGTTCCTTCTTCCACATATGTTTATGCGCAACATTTTTCTTGTGATCTTTTTTTGTCTGTCGTACTCTTCGTTTATTGTGGACGCCATAAAATGCACCCTGGAAACGGCAAAGGACGTGTGTCCACATAGCTATCCATGTTGCTTCAAATATGGGCATTGTGGAAATACGGAAGAGCACTGCACCATCAAAAGTGGATGTATATTTGGATGTTGGGACTCCACACTGACCACCGTTTCTCTGAATACGCCTGCAAAAAAAGAAATCACCACTGACTTTGCATCTCCCCAAGCAAAAGCATTTTCTGCTGACGACAAAAGGTCACTTGATGTAAAACCGAAACCCAAAAATAATGACAAGAAAGGGTCCGTCTCATCCAAGAAGATCTTTTATGGATGCTCAATTCCACAAGCTATTTCGCTCACCTTTGACGATGGTCCCTCTTCCTTCACAGATGGCATTCTCGACATTCTTCGGGATTATGGAGTCAAGGGAACCTTTTTTGTCATCGGATCAAATATTAACACTTCTTCTTCTCGAGCAACTATCAAGAGAATTGTCGCCGAGGGCCATGTATTGGGCTCGCACACGTGGAGCCATCCGGATCTTACTACCATCCCAGACGAAGAAATCATCGACGAGATGAAAAAGACTTCAGACATGATCTTTGCCTCTGCGGGTACCATATGCTTTCCAACTCGTAGGTGTCCGCCCAAAGTTTATGAGACCCCCATATGGCTCAATCAACGAGCGTGTGCAAAACATTCTGCAGAAGCAGTTGAATTACACCATCATCTTGTGGAACTTGGATTCAAATGATTGGAGGCACTACCGTAAGCATCCTTCAAGGATATATGCGTCGTTTGTGGCTGCCCTTCCGCCGAACAATATCGGGCTCTCGAGCCATGAGGCTGCTGTGGCCACAGGCACGCGCGAGTCTCCCGGTTGGATCTCGCTTCAGCATGATCTTTATGAGCCCACGCTTTTACAGCAAGAGGATATTATCAGCCTTATAATAAGAAGGAATTTCAAAATCGTCCCGCTGCTCACTTGCATTGGCGATGCCAATGGATCTGCATATCAGTAACTTGTTTGTTTGCAATAAATTTTGTCCAAACCCGTGTCGGCGTGCAAGCCTCACAACGTCTTCTGGATGCGAGGTGCAGGTTCAATCAAGGTGTTTCAAATGTTCTCTCGTCAAAGGTCGACAATTTAAAGTAATCACACATCGATTGCACTTGCCAGCCATTTTTATCTCCAAATGTGGATCTCATGTTCGCCAAAAATATCTCTCAATTGACTTGGAGCTGAACTTATTTTTCAGCACAAATTAATTTTAATTGCGAGTGGCTTTTTCATTGACAGCCTAAGCTTTATCGATGTCTCTGTTTCGCTTTGGACGTTCAAAGATACTCCCTCAATGGCCCACGCGAGCCTCATCCGTTTTTTCACAGCCTTTTGTTGTGGATGCCAAATTCTTGGCACCGCCCCATGTCAGAAATATGCTTGTTCCAAAACCATTTGCGCCATGGGGCTGCAATTTACGTTGCTACTCTGTCGTCAAAAAATCAGGAGCCAAGGATCCAATTGGCACGTTGGCGCTTTTATGGAAAAAATTTATCTGGCGGGAAGAGCCGTTTTTTCTCAATCAGCGAAGGATATTGATTGGCTCTGCCATTGGGCTGCTGGCATTGAGCAAAGTTCTCAACGTGCAAGTACCGCTGATTTTCAAGAAAATCATCGATTCTACCGTTGTGGCTCCCGATGCATCTTCGATGCTTGGTGCCCCGTTTTTTCTATTGCTTGGGTGGACGGCGGCCCGCCTTGCGTCCGTGCTTAGTGGCGGTATGATAACGAGATCAATTTAATGGTTCGTAGAGTTGAGAAACGTTTGTTTCTCAAAAGTTACACAGGGTGTCATCAGAGACATTAATCGATATGCATTCGAGTCCCTTACCAGTCCCGTTTTAGAGAGGCAAGGAGATACTGGCCGACCGGTTGCCCACGTGATTAAAATCCTGGATCGGGGTGCCAGAGCACTTCAGGGCCTGACTTCGTCGCTTTTTCTGAACATTACGCCGACAATTTTGGAGTGTCTCGTGGTCATTGGTATGCTGTGGTCGTACTTTGGATGGCATGTCGCAGCCATTTCCATTACCGGGGTCACGCTCTACTCCACATTGACCATGGTGATCTCGGAGTGGAGGCTCTCTGTTCGTGCACAAATGAATGCCGCAGAGACAGCAGTCTCTGCCTCATTATTGGAGTCCATTTTGAATAGCGAGGCCATTCACACAACACCAAAGGCAAGGGTCGTCGAGAATTGCAGACATGAACGACTTTTGGAGAATTTTGAGAAATCGTCGTTGAAAACGGCCTCCTCGCTTGCCATTCTCAACGGCGTCCAAGGTGTTCTGATTACAAGCTCTATGGCAGCAATGCTTTGGCTTGGACTTGTAGGCGCTGTAACCACACCTGGTGATCTCGTTTTGATGCACGGGCTTCTGTTTCAACTAGCAAATCCGCTTGGGTTTCTCGGAGTGGCGTATAGAGAGGGACGCCAGTCCCTCGCTGATGTAGAGTCTCTTCTCCAAATGCTCTCTAGGAAGGATTCCACGACTAGCCACAAGGCGATCATGGTATATGATGATGCAGTCAAACAGCAAGCGAAAGGATCGATAGGTTTGGATCTACAAGGACCCAGTATACACCATGTGGGTACATGTTCACTGTTTCCGGTTGGAAAGCGGCGAATATTGCTGGTTGGGGCTTCTGGTGGAGGAAAATCGACTTTGGCACGCAGACTTGCCATGGAGCTGGGATCTCGATGCATTTGGATCCCTCAAGACGTCTCGCAGCTTTTTTCTAGAAGCATCTTTGCAAATATTGCATACGGGGTCGAACCGGAAGCAAAACTGACACCCCTGCAAAATGACAAATTGAAGGAGATCGTTCAAAATGCAATGCTTGCCGCCAATCTCCCACTGGAGATGATGACAAGGGAGGTTGGCGAGCGCGGTTGTAGCCTTTCTGGCGGAGAAAGGCAACGGGTTTTGATTGCAAGAGCGTTTGCGAGGCTTTTTGCAAGAAACTATTTGTCGTCCCCATTAATGGATGGACAAGCTCTTCCTGCCCTTGAGATGGTCATTATGGACGAACCAACTGCCTGGCTAGACACACTTACCGAAGTCAGAGTGTTAGAGGCGCTCTTTGATGGTCTTGGAAATATTCCTCTCGTTATGGTCACACATTCGATCCCAACGGTAGCAAACTTTTCCGATTGGATTGTTGTAGTTGGCAGTGATATGTCAAAACAGCCGATTATTCTCCAAGAAGGCCACTGGAAAGATTTGCTTGCCGTTCCAGGCCCTTTTGCCGATTTGTGGAATGTCACTCCATCAAACAACGAGCTTTCTTGTTGAGCGTGCCATTTCTACGCTTTATAATCAAATTATGTTCACTGCGCAGAGACTTAATTCTTTTTTTCTATCAACTATGATTTCGATATGGCGGGGCGCCCAGTGGTTAATTTTTTTACAAACTTTCTGTTTATGCGTGCCGGTCGGTAATTTGTTGTTCGAGTCAATTGAAACCTTGCAGCGGTTGGGGTATTTAAATTGCCACTGGAGGCCGCCGGTTCATGCTATGGATATTGATCTTTTTGATGAGCCAGTATCACATTTGCAGGTGGCCAGTTGAGATAATTCAAATGCACAAAGCCGCCAGTTTCCAAGTGCGATGTGAAAATTAATCCATTGAATTTGGGCATGCAACTTACCAGCCGATGTGCAAGTGTGATTATTGGCCATTTCAAACGGCAAAGAGTTTGAAGCGGAGTGCAGCAAGTAAATGCCACATGGTGTTGAATAAACTTATGTCGTTATCCTAGTGATTGCATCAACGAGCATGCAGTGAGTACAGTCGTTTAAATAATTACTGGGCATGCTTTAGGGTGTACACATGGACCTGGGAGCGGATCACAGGGTCGCCCTTGTCATGTTCAAACATGGGTTGCATCACGATGGTATCTGTCTTCACCACAATAAATGGCGGAAAAGAAAGCCCCGGAAAGGTGTCGTTGTGTCCAGCCTCTTCGGGAGCGCGGCCATGTGCAGCCAGATGGAAAAAGTTCAAATCCTCGCTTATTTTGTGTGGCCGATGGTGAGAAAAGGCCACTAAAAGCATGGCGTCGCGGCTATTTTTATTGAGAAGAGCCGATGCCGTGGCCAACAACGGGATATGCTGAGAGTGGTTGAAAATCAAATCAGAGAGAATAATCAAATCAAAGCCATCTGGATAGGCAGCGCGGATTTTGGATATCTCCTGCCGATCTCCCCATCGCAGACCGCTAGCCTTGATATGGGAGGATCCCTTTTTGATGTTTATAGAAATGTTTTGGTTAACAATCTTTAAAAGGGTTTCTTCTGGATATTCGGTGAGAAGGACCTCCTTTGCATCAAGCTGATGCGCTACAAGCGATGGGAGGCCCGCGCCGCATCCCAGTTCAAGAACACGCTTTCCGCTACAATGGGGAAGAAACGTTGTTTCCAGCAGATCTGCAATTGCTACACTGGCATTCCATAGGCAATTTGCCCAGAGTGAGTGATGTTGGTTGAGCAGGGTTAGCTTTATCTCGACGGGTCGAGTTTTCATATGATGTGAAAAGGACCGGACCGTTTGTGGGGGTTGGCCTCCAGAACTGGCGGCGACGGCATCGTCTTCATTGGTATGGAACAGATCTTGCAACATGTTTGAAAAACCTTCCGAGGCCAACGAAGCAGTGTTACAAAATAATTAGGGCAACAAATTTGTAAACTTGGTAAAATAAAAAGGCGCCTTAATAATACGGCAGTCCTATTGGTGCGTGTGGGCCATTGTTAATTTATGTGTGTGTATAAATGGGCACGTCCTGATTCCCGCTCACTCAATGCTATCGCTAATGTGCAGGTGCCCAGGCATGTGACAGACATTCTATCTCGGGTGCAAAAGTTGAGGATCCACCGTTATCAAGGATCCACACTGATTGTCCAAGAACAAAAATTAAAACGCTTGAAATAAAAAAGCGCACCATTAAAGCGTTTATTAAAAAAATAGCATTATGGGATGTACATCCCGAAAACGAAAATGTACGCCGAAATTTTCTGCTCCTCAACGAGCATTTATACAGAAATCGCCTCTTCCGATAGCTTCATGGGGGATGAAGCAAATTGGACGGCGTCGTAGATAACCCTGATCATAAGCGAGCAAGAGGGACACCGTGCCACCTCTTCGCCTTGGGCGAGCTCATCGAGATGGATAAGAAAGCGGTCGCCACAGGGACAAGGATACGAATAAATTTGCTCGGACGCGTTAAATTCAAAGTCCTCGATTTCGATCTCGTCATAAAAGAGCGACGACATCAAGCTTCAGCTTTGTGAAAAATAATTTCAACCGGAAACTTTAATTTGTAAACCTTCCATTTGAGGGCTAATAATGCGCCCAATTTTTACATGCAATCTGCTCGACTCGCCGCGCCATCGGCAAATGTGCACTTTCCCTCTCTTTCGCCATGCTCTCTATTTTACCTGGACATTGAGGACAGGGATCTTTCTGCCAAATTGATTTCTACGCTTTCGTCGATTGGACTGGTATTTTTGTCTGGTTTAATTGCCGTAGAAAGTTACAAGCTTCTTCAGTATCGATGTGACACACATGGTTACAAACAGAGTGTCCTCGGACGATTTGAGAAAGCTAAGGATCGATGCACGGGTGTCTCAGCCGCAGGAGCCGCCAAAATCGGCGCTCTGTCCCTCTCCAATGGCCAGTCCAATTTCATCGACCACCTGGAAGCCAACAAAGGAGGGGTTGTTGACGCCGGTTTCGGTGTTTTCGCCATCCGATTGCAAGTAAGTCTAGTTATTAGCAACTCTCAGGTCAATTGCGATGATTCTTTCCGCCACGGTCGGGTCTGAAAGACAGCGGTCCTTGGATCTTATAAAAAAGGCGCTTGAAATGAAAATTACAATTTGGTCGATCAACCGTATGGCGTTTGCAAGCATTTACTTTATCGGTAGAGCTATTTACCATCCTACGGTCGCTCAATGTCAAAGTGCCGCACAAAAAATCAAAGGACAATTCAAGCCTCCTCCAGGCGCTTCAAGAATCGTCTGGAAAAATCAAGATCGAAAAAAAGGCAAAGATTTCCAGGTTGCTGACACACACAATATCGACGGCATCGACAACGTCTTTGATTATGAAAATCAAGCCCTCTGCCACAGTAAAAAGAGCATCCGAGAATTTCAAGCTGTTTGAGCATCATTTTGTGATGATCCAAGATATTTTCCACTATTACAAGCCGATTTTTAAGGAATATCCGCCGGCAACGTCTGGCGACAATAACCAGGTGGCGACATATCCGACGCTATACCTTGCTGCTGCATTTGGATTTTGCCCATTTCTTGTTCAGTCGGTCAGAAAGTCCGGCGTTTCTTCGAAGGGCGTTTCATCGAACGTCGGTGTCCACCATAGCTTCATGTCTTCAATGGCACATCAAAAGTCTAGATATGAGCGTGTAAAAAAGCCAGGGTTTTGCGAATGCTGCTTGGAAAAATACACGGACATGGACGAGGTATGTTTAGCGTGGATGTTAATTTTCAGCATATAAAAGAGCCGTTCCACCGGAAATTTGCAAAATCATCCAAAAACTATTCGGCTTTAGACGAGCTTATCAGCTCTTCGTTTAAACGGATTCTCCTCGATCCCTCCCAAACAGCATCGCAAGAAATTTCGTCCCAAGATTACTTGTCCTCAGCCATTTTGGCTCCACTTAGCCTATCCGAGCCAGCCAACCAAAAGGTGCCGAGATCGCTGAGAAGGACTCTTTATCCAGCCGATTACAATTTGGTTTACAGCAGCATTGAATCGTCTTATTCGGAGCATGATCCTGAAAACACCTCGCTACTGAGAAGCCCCCATGTTGATTCGATATTCAATCTCTCATCGCCGATTGCTAAAAGATTCAACATCACAAAAGTGACGCTTAAATCTCCCAATGATGGCAAATCTAAGATGCTGCAAGGCAGCATGGCCGCAAATCCAGGCTCTTTTCCAGCACCGCAACCATTGCAATTGCATGCCATCAACGCCCGGTGTCCGGAGGAGTTTCCCCACCATCCATTTTCCTTTGCATCGATCGGAAATTCCCCCGCACCTGCCAAGGGAAATTTAGACCCACAAGCTGAGAAGCTCTTTCCTTCTCAGCATCGCGCCCTTCATGGCACGCCCAACTCCAGCAACAAGGAGAATGTGGACATCGAAAGGGTATCGACAATTGAGAAGCAATTGTCGTCCGAGTGTCCTCTTAAACTGAAGGATTCCCATTCAGCATCGCCCTCAAGTCCAATTTGTGCATCCAAAAAGCGGATTTGCAAGGCAGCATCGCCGCTTTCTGTTCTGACAAAAAAGGCCTTGAAAAATACGGCGGGCCAATCAAATTCAAATGAAAACTTCAGCATCGGAAAAAGGAACCTCAGAACATCGACGCTTTGCAACACCGTTGAAAGCAAATATAGAAAGGGAGATGCCATATGTCATGGCGACAAAAACGATGGCAAGAGTTCGGACCTCAAGTCAAAGAGGATCCTGCTTTTCCCCATGTAGCGTGTATTTAGACAAAACGGGCCAATTCACTCTACACACACACACACACATGCCGTGTTGTTGAGCCTTGCATGGCCGATCCGGTTATAATAAACATTAGACTGTAGGCAACGCAAGTCAGCAGCCCATGCAACATTGCATGCGATGAAAGTTCGACATTTATTATATAAATAAAAAATTACCAGCGACGGCCGCCTCTAGAATAGGAATTGGTGTTGTATCTAGAGCCGCCACCGCCACCCCCGGATCCATAGCGCGAGTTGAAGGCATTAGAACGGCCCCCGCCTCTGTTGCGGACCATGTTTTCGATGTCGGGGTCCACTTCCTGGCTGGCCTCTTTCAGCACAGCAATAAGATCCTTTGCACATCTGGAATTATCCTGCGTGAAGTACGAGATGGCAGTGCCGTATGTATTGGCTCTTCCCGTTCTTCCGATTCGGTGGACATAGTCCTCCACAGACGAGGGGAAATCGTAGTTTATCACAAATCGAATGTCTTTCACATCAAGGCCGCGAGCAGCAACGTCCGTTGCAACCATCACCGAGCACCTTCCCGTTTTAAACTGAGCAAGCGTATAGTCGCGATCAGCTTGGGTTTTGTCACCATGAATTGCGAGGGCAGAGTATCCTTCACGCTTGAGAAAAAGAGCCAAATCATTTGCGGTTCGCTTTGTTGCCGTGAAAACGATGGTTTTGTTTTGGGTCTCGCGAGAAATGTTTTCAAGGTTTCGCAGAATAAATGTTCTTTTGTCGTCTTCAGAACAGACTCGCACAATCTGACGCACTCTGTGATTTGCAGAGATATAAAGAGACCCAATGTTCACTTGAATCGGGCTGCGGGAATAGTCGGCCGCTAAGCGCTGAACCTCCTTTGGCCAAGTGGCACTCCACATGAGCGTTTGCCGGTCTGGTCTGATTTGGTCCACGATGGCTCTGATTTGGGGCTCAAATCCCATATCCAACATACGATCTGCCTCGTCCAGGACCAGATACGTGATCCGCTTCAAATTCGTTCGACTGTCACGGAGCATATCGATAAGACGGCCCGGAGTTGCAATAAGTATTTCCACTCCACGAGACAGCTCTCTTGCTTGGGGGCCCTTTGGAACCCCGCCATACACAGAAAGAGATCGAATTCTGGCGGAACGTCCAAACTTTCTGCATTCTTCTTGAATCTGAACGGCAAGTTCGCGTGTAGGGGCAAGCACAAGGCAAATGGGCCCATCTCCAGGTCTTATGCTAGGCTGTGCAGTAATATGAACGATTGCAGGTAGGAGATATGCAAGAGTTTTTCCAGATCCCGTTTCGGCAATGCCGATCATATCGCGCCCGGACATGGCCATCGGCCATCCTTGAGCTTGGATCGGAGTCGGCTTGGTAAACCCTAGACTTTCTATTTCTCGAAGAACCGAAGGAGGCATGCAGGCTTCAGAAAAGGATACCACCGGCTTTGGGATATTTTCGCCAGAAACGGTGATTCCCATCGACTTTCTTATCTCAAAAACTTCGGATGCCGTCAAGGCCGAAACGCTTGGGGCTTCACGGTAAAAGTTTTTCTCAAAAGGCACTAGTTGCATATTTTCCCACGATTGCGTTGGAAGCCCCCCAGCAAAGTCGTCTTTTTTACTGTTTGAAGATCCATATGAATTGCCATATCCGCTATTCTGATCTGCATATTTACTATTGTAAGACGATGGCATGGAAGATGCAGCGGCAGAGGATCCAGAAAAGTAATCTCCGGAGGAAGAGCTGGAGGATTGGTAACTGTAACTGGAGCTCATGAATGGAAATGCAAAAAAAAATTACTTTTTGCTTAAAATTTAAAAAGTATTTTAATAAAATCGCCCGCCCAATCGGGGTTGGCCACATTTAACCGGGTTCAAGTTCTCATCAACATGAGCTTGCCATTTGTTAATCGGGGCATTTTAAGCTGCCGCAAAGCAAGCTGGTATTGCTGTTTTTATTTGAATAAACACCGTGACTATTTACATGAGCAGGGGGGTCTCGTTTCCATACGATATTATTTTCCCCTTTAACTCGTTTGCAGTGTTAAAAGGAAGGGGGTTATTGGGCGTGAAGTGGTTGCTATAAATTAATTTTTGAAAACGCAAATGGATTCTTCCAGTTCTTCTGTAAAACCAGCGACTAAAAAAATAATACATGCATGCCTTTATTGTCAGAGGTCTCATTTACAGTGCTCAGAAGGTACTTTTTGCACACCTTACACTTGGTAGAACGCCCATGTAATCCTTGTCTCAATAAGAACCAAGAATGCGTCGAGGGCCAAAGAAAGCTATGCAAGTACTTGCTTAAGGATGCCATCGTGACGACGACGACGACGACAACGACATCTAACGCCCCGCCAGCTGCTTTGGATATCCAGAATGATGAATTTGGAGATGCATTTTTACTAAAGTCAGAATACAAGGACTTGCGGGACTTGGTAGAAATCCCCGACTTTTACGCAAGCGACGAGCCCTCCTTTGCTCCATCGCTTTCGTCGCCAGGTAGCTTTATTGATTGGAGACTGACAAAACAGGATTTGGACCGATCCATTGAAACGATTTATTCATCCAGCGACATTGTTCCTTTCAATTACGATGCTTCAAACAAAATTTTATTAACTTGGCTCGAAAGGCAGAATTTCGATAAGAAAGAACTGACCGAATTTTTGTCGCTATTTGAGATTTACAATGTGGCGCTGTTGGACACGATCAGGAATCTCTCCTGTGAAGATCTCGTTCACTGTGAAAAATCGTTTCTACGTCAAGTGTCCGAGGCCAGTTACATCATGGGACTATCGGGGACGCCTGTCGCACTCTGGCGCAGCTCAGGGGAGCTTGTCGCTGCAAATAGGGAGTTTGGCCAGATCTTGAAAATACCTCTGGAAATCCTTGCCAGTGGCACTTTACGGATTTATGAACTGATGTCTCCCGAGTCTGCATTTTTGTATTGGAAACGATACCTATGCATTGCTAACGACCTGTCGGCGCCCCAATCATTTAGCCTGAAAATTGAGACATCCTCGCTTTCTTTTCTATTGTGGCTTCACGTTAAGCGCGATCCGTTTGACCTGCCTCGCATTGTGATGGGCCATTTTCTTCCTCTATTTTCCGCCTGACGTTCAAGTCAAATGCATTGATGTCCATTTTTCGGCGAACTTTTAATCACTTGTTGAGATCTGAATTTATATCTCAAATGTATCTAGCCCGATGGGAAACCTTTGATTTTGGGCTGTGGATGGGCTGACACCCTGTCTATCACTCCATCAAATGTTTAAATGTATTCCTTATCAGCACCGTAAACTATGATCCACATGAATAATATTTCAGCCTGTGGAGCGACTGATATATTTTCACCCCAAACAATGGATGATAGAATGGCAGCGATGGCAATGATCATGGCCCCGCTGCATCCGGCTGTACAGCCAATGATGGCATCTTCCCTTGTTAATTCGTCGTACCCAATAATGCTGACCGGATGGACGTCCACTGTGCCACCGCCTACGGCAGCAAATCAAAACACATGGGCCATCGGTGTGAACGGAGGAGATGGGCTCAACTCGTCTTTTCCAACACCATACTTCCCGCCAAGAAAGACACGAAGACGCCTATCGGTTTCCGAGTCCAGACTGCTCAATGCTGCTTTTGAGATGCATCCACATCCATCTGCAGACATGCGTGCAAAGCTCGAGAAGCAGCTGGGTATGTCTCGTCGCGCTGTCCAAATATGGTTCCAAAATAAGCGAGCAAAGAGAAGAAGAATCGAAAAGGATGGGTCCAAAGGATTGCCCTCGTCTCCAGGTGACGATGACGAACATTTTAATAGGGGCTCGGATTCTCTTTTGGTGTATGCTCCAATCACCGCGCCCACTGCAACGCTAAAACAGCCTACAATGGCAACCACTTCGTCAACCTCGCTCTGCTTCGACGAGCTTGACATTTCGCTTTCGGACGACCCTTTTTTAAACGCTCTTAGCAACGATATGGAGCTGCTTGGTAGTTGCGGCGGGAACGGCTTTCTGTAGCCTGTTATTGTGTTTACAATGCCCACCGCTTTGATCATGTAATACAGTGTCGCATTTCATGCCAACCGTAAAGTTTATTTTGTAAATTTCAATGTACATGCAAGTTAAAATTTAAGCGGGGCCAGCGCCAGCCAAGTCAACTTGACAAGTGCACATTATAATTAATTTTACAACTTACGCAATTCCACAAATGGTACTCGACACCTTTCCGCTAACCGTTGTTTTAGAGTCTTGCACCGGTCCAAATCTTGCAGCAAGAAGCGACGGAAGAGCGTGCAGAGAATGCGCGCCTAAACATCTTTGTCGGTGCGATTGCCGTTGGCGACTTGGTGAGGAACACGCTGGGGCCTAAGGGAATGGACAAGATATTGATTTCGGCCCGGGACAACAGCATGAGTGTGACCAATGACGGGGCCACAATTCTCAAGTCCATCCATTTGGAAAATGCTGCTGCAAAGATCCTTGTAGAGATTTCCAAGGTGCAGGATGACGAGGTGGGCGACGGCACCACGTCCGTTTGCATACTTGCGGCAGAGCTGCTTCGCGAGGCCGAAAAGCTGATTTCCATGAAGATCCATCCACAGACTATCATTGAAGGGTATCGTGCCGCTGCAGCCGTTGCTCGAGCTACGCTCGAGGCTGCTGCCATCGATAACAGGTACCACGGACTTGCAATCTTTCTTATAGAAACGATCCAGTTCTTTTTCGCCGCGATTTGGTGAACATTGCCAAAACCACTCTTTCTTCAAAAGTTCTCGCAGCAGAGAAGGAATATTTCGCCGAAATGGCCGTGGATGCCGTGCTTCGACTTGGCGATGGTGACCATGTAAACTTGGATATGATCCAAATCATCAAAAAGGCCGGCGGCCGTCTTCGCGAGTCATTTCTGTCGGAAGGCTTCATCATTGACAAGCGAATGATTGGGCCCATTACCAAGGTGGCTTGGTTGCTTTTTTATTTACAGATCACCGATGCACGGATTTTGGTTGCAAATACGCCTCTCGATACGGATAAGATCAAGGTCTTTGGTTCTCGCATGCGTGTCGAATCGAGCGAGGCGCTTGCTGCGCTAGAAAGAGCCGAACGTGAAAAAATGCGCCTCAAAATAGAAGTGATGAAAGCGATGAAAATCAATTGCATCGTCAATCGCCAGCTCATATATTCATGGCCGGCACAGCTTCTTGCAGATGCAGGCATTGCCGTCATCGAACATGCCGACTTTGATGGCGTCGAGCGATTGGCCTTTGTGACCGGTGCGCAAATTGCATCCTATTTCGGACAGGCGCATAATAATGCAGATGCTTCCGCATCAGAGTCAGAGCCCGCTTCGGCAATGAAAGCGCTTCGTTTGGGAAGTGCGTCGGTGGTGGAGGAGATCCTTGTTGGTGGAGAGCGGCTGACACGCTTTTCAGGTGTCAAGGGAGCCGACGGCCATGGCGCATGTACGATTGTTTTGCGCGGTTCGTCTCGCCAGATGCTCGATGAGGCCGAACGCTCGATGCACGACGCACTTTGCGTTTTGGTGCAAGCCGTGCGCCATGATACACGAACCGTTCTCGGTGCCGGCTGCATCGAGATGCACATGAGCAGGGCTGTTGACGAGATTGCTGCCAAGACGCCGGGAAAGCAGGCGTTTGCCATCGAGGCCTTTTCGCGCGCGCTCCGAATGGTAAGGAAGATGTCTCGCTTTGTGTGGCGCTCTGCACTTTTATTGTTTTTTAGACTTTTTGTCGGCTGTGTTTTATCGCTTGCTTTTTACACTTTAGATCCCGACAATCTTGTCCGAGAATGCCGGTCTGGACACTCCGCAGCTTGTTTCGCAGCTGCGTGCAGCACATGCAGCCAACCTTTCGACATTTGGCCTTGACCTCAATCAAGGACGCATCACCGATGTTTCGGCCTTGGGGATAACGGAAAGCGCTAGACTTAAGCGCCAGGTTCTTTCCTCAGCGACGGAGGCTGCAGAGATGGTCATTCGCGTTGATGATATCATCAAAAGCGCTCCAAGGCCAAGATCAGAACGATGCCAGTAGCAATAAAACTATCCAATCGAAAGCATTTTGTACACGGAAAGCAGGGTAGCAGAGCGTTTTTTTGTTCGGCGAAAACGATTGGGCCAAATATTACAAGTTGCGTTAAATTTATTAATTTATTGGCTCCCTGCGTCCGTTATAGTTAAAACCGCTCAGAACATTCGAAAATAAAAACAAGTTACATGAAGCTTCTCCGTGCGCTTCTTTTGTGTCTCTTGAGCATCATAGCGAGCTTTATTATCCTCAACTCTGCAGCCGAAAATAAATGGGCTGGTAACCCATTCATTCATAAACCACGTCTACATAACCATTTGCGCACACCTACTGATAGCTACAAACTAGCTGCTGAAATAGAGAATCTTGTTTATAAGTTCTTATACGACGAATCGCAAGCTTCAAAAGGCAATGTTAACTTTTATAGAGAGTTTCTGCTTATGTTCAATTCATACGTGAATCCTTGTGGGTCCATTTACGATGTGCTTCCCGAAAGTTTGCTTGCCAAACTTGTGCTGGCTTTGATTGAGGTTAATTTTCAAAAGGAGATTATTTTATCTGCACAGTTGGATACGGCAGACATCCCCATAAATGCTTTTAAGAACTCTTTAGACCAGGTCAGCAAAGTTTTTTTCGAATACAAGGATTCAGTTAATGCTCTTGGCGAGTTAGGAAAATCCGAATCCGACGTGCTTGACGGGATTTATCTGAATTTGATGAACATGTACACGCCACATGGCAGTCCTAGCGCAAAGTCCATCTTTTATGCGAAAGTTTTTGTCAACTTATTTCAAGCACTTGACTTGATTTTGCAGAAAATGAAAAATCACGTCATCGAATCTTGCGCTCTGGTGATTGAGGAATACCTGAACGAAATTCGCATCAAATATGGCAGTGCTAGTGACGCTCTAAACCTTAAAAATCCCTTTGACATTTCATATTGTAGCAAGGTGCTTTGCCATTCTCCAATACCGACGTCTCTATCCATTTCAGTTGTATTCGTGCTTTCCTATTTAAAAGAGTTTCCTTCCAAGACTGCATACTTTGATAAAAGTTGCATTATCGAGCTTATGCAGACCGATTTTGAGCGTCTGGGAGGTCAAAGTGATCGCAATTCGCACGTTGGGTTGAAGTCGAGCTCGGGCTGTTCTGTAAATGCCCCCAATTGCAGTCCTAAAACTCAAAAAATGTTCAATCACAAGGTCCAAAGCTGTTTTGAAAAGGTTGAAGATCTATTATATGTAACTCCGGATTTGCTAAAAGGCCTCATCAAGAACCACGTGGTTTTGACAGATATTAATCAAGCTGATTTCATGCGAGCACTTGTTCTGTCAAATCAGATTCATCGTAAAGATCAGCATGCATTGGCACTCGGATCCGAGCCAGACACCGATGTGCAAAAAAAAGAGCTAGCAGACCTGATAAAGCCCATGTCGACGCTAAGTTCTTTTTGGCTTCTGATTGATCTGTTGTTTAAAGCTTTTTTACGCGAAATTGGATGAGGGGCATGGGCTCTATTATGCTACATTGCATCAAATGCATCATGGGCTTGATTAAATTAAATTAAATTAAATTGAAAATTAATTTAATGGCGAGACGACCTGGGTGTGTTCCGCCGCCTTCCGGCTGGGAAGTGATTGAGCATACGCTGGACGAGATCGAGCGCAACATGCGCGAAGGTAGGAAGATAAAATAACTTTAGCTGAAATTGAGCCCCATGAAACAAAACGGATAGCCGAGGCCTCATGGCCGATATTCCGGCTGCATCATCTGCGTTCACGCTACATTTACGAAATGTATTATTGCCAGAAGGCCATTTCAGAGGAGCTATACAAATACTGTTTAAGCGAAAAGATCGCCGATGCCGCTCTGATTGCCAAGTGGAAAAAACAGGGCTACGAGCGTCTATGTTGCTTGCGGTGTATTCAGCCGGCCGATATGAACTATGGGACCACTTGCATATGCAGGGTGCCACGTTCTAAAATAGATTCTGCCACACGCCCCTTCCAGTGTCAACTTTGCGGCTGCCGTGGCTGTTCTGGCTAATGATGGACCCACGACGGGCAAAGCTTTATTTGTCAATAAATTACTACCCGAAAACGGCAACAATAATTTATCGGATTTGTTGTGCAGTCAACGTACATCTAAACGATGGCGCTGGTGCCGCCGTATCGCGTGTGGCAGCAGCGACGGCCAATCTGGCCCCTTCAGAAAGATCCGTTGTGAAGAGAAAGGGGAGCCCAGAGTCTTTTATTAGCGCGGTTGCCTCTTCAAGCCGCGTGCCGGCAAGTCGAACAATTGTTGGCGGGAGTACAATGCCTTTTTGTTCAAGTAGCCGATAGGCTGATATCAGACCAGAAGCAACGGTATCGCATCGCATGATGCCGCCAAAAATATTTACGAAAATGGCCCGTACCTAGATCCATCAAAACAAGAAATCGGGGACAAAAGCGTACGTTTGGATCTGAAGCGATGATGTGCAAACCACCTGCCACTTGCGAGGCGGAGGCGGAGCCGCCAACATCGAGGAAATTTGCAGCACTTCCATTGAACTCTTTGATGAGATCCATCGTGGCCATGGCAAGGCCAGCGCCATTGACTAGCGACCCAACGGTACCGCTGAGATTTACAAATGACAGCGCAAGCGCAGAGGCAGCAGCCTCCCGTTTGTCTTGTGTTGATGCCGTTGAAAAGCCACGCTGCCGAAACAGGGCGGCATCATCGATTTCGATTTTGGAATCGATAGCCATCACTTTGAGATGCGATAAATAGGCTTACCTTTGCCGTTTGTAAGCATGGCAAGTGGATTAATCTCCACCTGTAAGGCATCGCTTGAGAAAAAAATCCTAATTAGCGCGGCGATCTGGCGGTGGATTTCGACGTCAACCTCTGGCAGGCCCAAATGGCGGCAGATGAGCTCCATTGGGATGGGTGTATCCGCACCATCAAGAGGAACCGCTAAAATAGCCTCGGGATTTTCAGCGGCCACTTTCTCAATATCGATTCCACCGATTGGAGAGCATATCAGCATTGGCGAGCGTGTCCGACGGTCAAGCACTATCGCAAGGTAGGTCTCTTTTTGAATGTCCACAGATTTGGCGACCATTACCTTTTTGATAAGCAGAAAAAGATACCTTTTCTACAAGCAAGCCTTCTGGGGGAGACTGCAGCGTTACCAATCGCTTATTGAGCATCTTGTCAAAGAGAAGCGAGACGGCCTCATCAACACTGGAAATAATCTCATGCAGGGCTGGTACCTTTTGGTTACTTTAACTCCGCCATGGAGGCCAGATTCTGGGAACCGTCCCTTTCCGCGACCGCCGGCAAGCACCTGGGCCTTTACCACCAGCGCATCATTGGGATAAGCTGCAGCCAGGGTCTTGACGATACTCTCTGCCTCTACCCGATCCATGGACGCGTCAACCACAACAAAAGGCTGCACATCTACGTGGGCCATCTTTAAAAGGTTCTTGGCTTCATATTCGTGCAAATGTAAATGTGCCCTAAAAACCCTTGCCCATGGGAAAGCCTCTTTGAACAAGCGGACACGCTGTCGCAGCAACATTGCAATTTAAAAATTAAAATGCACTTAGGGCCCCAATAGAATGGGGAAATATCGCCCCAATCATGGACCGATAATACTATGGAAAATTATGGCATCATCATAGGATGGCTTTGAAAAGCCGTTTGAGAGTTGCGTTGAACGCAATGAAAAAAGATGCGAAAGCATCTATCCACCAAAGCCGTAGAGAGTACGACCTTGGCGCTTAAGCGCATAAACGACGTCCATTGCGGTGACTGTCTTGCGCTTGGCATGTTCGGTATAAGTGACAGAGTCGCGAATGACGTTTTCCAAAAAGACGCGAAGAACGGTGCGAGTCTCTTCATAGATAAGACCAGAAATACGCTTAACACCACCACGGCGTGCAAGACGACGAATGGCGGGCTTGGTGATTCCCTGAATGTTGTCACGAAGAATCTTTCGATGACGCTTGGCTCCTCCCTTTCCAAGACCTTTTCCTGCTTTTCCTCCAGTAGACATCAGTGTGTTTTGGGTTTGAGTTGTTAGATAATAATGGTGATCAAGTCGATCGTAAAGTTCCCCTATTAAGTGTCTCTTTTATAGGGTAAAGTTTGGCGGGAAAACTGCCAAAAATAGGGTTAGATACCCATCTATTTGATTGACATTAGCGCCACTTTCAGGGCCACGGCCAATCAGAATGCGCGGCGAAATATGATTTACCCGCCATTCTGATAAGTATATAATGGAGTGGCTCTCCATCAATTTATCGCTACCCGGTATCAACACAAACTTTCAACATGGTTCGAACTAAGCAAACTGCCCGCAAATCCACTGGAGGTAAAGCACCTCGCAAACAGCTCACTACCAAGGCCGCTCGCAAGAGTGCGCCAGCTACCGGCGGAATCAAGAAGCCCCATCGCTACAGACCTGGAACTGTTGCTCTTCGTGAAATTCGTCGTTATCAGAAATCCACTGAACTTCTCATCCGCAAACTTCCCTTCCAGCGTCTTGTTCGAGAGATTGCCCAAGGGTTCAAAACAGATCTCCGCTTTCAATCTTCCGCAATCGGTGCCCTTCAAGAGGCCTCCGAGGCATATCTTGTCTCTCTCTTTGAAGATGTGAATCTTTGCGCCATCCATTCCAAACGTGTCACCATTATGGCAAAAGATATCCAGCTTGCTCGTCGCATTCGTGGTGAACGCAACTTGTAATTCCTCTATTTACCTTCTCAAACGGCTTTTCAAAGCCATCCAGAGTAAAGGCCTTCTTTGCGCTAGAGGGTCTCCAATCATTGATGGTCAATAAAATTTGGAATTCCGAAATCGTTTGAGATAATTTATTGAGAGAGCCGATGGGCGTGTTTCCCCGATCACTGCATCATCCATCTGTGGGGTAAATTGTTTATTTCCGACCTACCACCTTTTGACAGCTACCCATTGGATGTGGACGCATCGCAGTGCCAAGGTGTTCTGTGTGTGCTGCTCGTATTTGGCGGTTTAAATTTTAAATTTGCCCAAATGATGCAGATCAATTGATGACAAGTGACATTGGACGCTCTAAAAGAGAAATTTCATTTTAAATGTCACTGAAGGGTCAAACGGTGTTTATAACAGGAGCTTCCCGCGGCATTGGAAAGTCTCTGGCACTTCGGTAAGTCTCCGTGTGTAACGGGCTAGTTTTGCTCGCGAAGGAGCTAACGTGGCAATTGTTGCGAAGACAATTGAGCCCAATCCCAAAGTATGCGGACAAATTTACCGTCTTAATAGCTACCTGGCACTATTCATGATACTGCAAGGGAGGTCGAAAGGTTAGGAGGCTTTTCTCTCCCCGTTGCTTGTGATATTCGATTTGAGGATCAAATTATTGCTGCAATCGGTGCCACAGTGAAAAGGTTTCTTTTGCCGAGTTGATATTGCAATTAGATTTGGAGGAATCGATATTGTCATCAACAACGCATCTGCGATTTCGCTGACCAAGGTCCAAGATACAAGTGCAAAAGCATTTGACCTGATGAACGGAATCAATGTTCGCGGGACTTATCTGGTTAGCAAGCATGCGGTTCCCTTTCTGAAAAAATCAAGAAACCCGCACATTTTGGCGCTTTGTCCGCCGATTTCTTTGGAGAAGAAATGGTTTGCAAAGCATACCGCCTATACGATGTCCAAATACGGGATGTCCATGGTAATCATGGGCTTGTCTGCTGAACTTCAATCGGAAGTAATGCTTTGCTTGATCTAACCCTATGTGCAGGGAATTGCAGTAAATGCTTTATGGCCAAAAACGCTGATCTCCACTGCGGCAATGCAGGCAATCTCGCCAGGTTAGCGTTGCATTTGGCTTACTGGAGAACATGCAGAAGAGCTGAAGAGGATGGGAAGAACTGCAGAAATCGTATCCGATGCAGCACTTGCAATCATCACCACGGCTAGCCGCCAATATACGTAGCAATATGCGGGTGATAATAACTTTTAGCGGCAACTTTACAATTGATGAAGACATACTGAGACATTATGGGGTTTCTGATTTTTCAAAGTATGCGGCAGTTCCTGGAACGACAGAATTCAAAAAAGGTACTCCGTGTGCCTCATATGTGTTTATCATGTAGACCTGTTTTATCAAGACGGCTATACATTTAAATACCCGCCAATGGAGCACGGCAGACTGTAGGGGGCTCCACCTGCTTGAAAGGATCGAATATTTGGCAATAAACCCAAAATTTAAAGCATAAATTGGGCTTTTCAACCCCGGCGGCATCATGGTGGTGTCCCACATATTGGATTCGAGACATCAAATTAAGCACCACAGGACAGGACCCTAGGTCCAGGTCTGCTGAAAACCGCTAGGATAGGCCATATTTCGGCAATACGCTTCGCTTTTTCTTGAAAAGAAGGAAAATGGCATAGCAAAAAGACTGAACAACAATCACAAACAGACCAGCAAATATTAGTATCAAGCAAAAGAGATACTCGTCATTTGTGATGGCTGTTTTTACCATCGCTTCGTGGGAGATGCTCTTTTCAATAATACGGAGCAAGACATTCTCTATATCCGCGGGGGTGTTAAAGTTTTGAAGTTCTTTCAGCATCGAGGGCATTGGGAATATTAGCGCTTGTGAGATCGTTTGTAAAGGCGAAAAAAAGGCTCCCTTCAAATCTTGCGGATCAAAGCCCGAAATGCAGTTCAAAATCGACGTTATGGGGAAAAGCGCATTGGAGGCCCAGGATACCATGCCAGAGTTAAAGACCTCATTGAAAGCGGGTAGCAGATGCTTATTAATGGCATCGGAAAGCACGTCTTGCAAAGACGAGAGGATTACCATCGGCTGAATTGCATTGGCCTTTGTGGTGTTGTAGAGCTCCTCAAACATCGTGTTCAAGTTGGCAAATTCAAGCCTTACCAGCTTGCATATATCTTCACTTAGCGCTGAAATGATTTCCTTTGAGCCAAGGCTTACAGCCTTGGCCAGGTGCAAGGCCGCCATTTTCAAAATCGAAGATTCGATTCTGGAAAGCAGCAGAGAAAAAATGCCGGAAAGCAAAAATAGCCAGCTTGGCCCATGAGCAGCATATCGCATGGTTTTTTTAACGATCGAATCATCTCCGGCCTTTTTTGGTGTGTATTTCTTTTTTCGAAGGAACGTAAAAACCAAAATCACCACTGCAACGAAAATGAATGCAAGCAAAGACCAATGCTGTACCTCTTCAATATAATGGTTGATTGATGCAGTGGGCGAAAGAGCCTCTAAATTTTCAGGTGCCATGTTGAAGTTTTTATACTTTGCGTGTCCCTGATTGGCAGGGAGCCTGCTTTTCATTTCCAAAAGTTTTGCCTGCATGTTGGAGGTTATGTTTTCGATCGGATGCTTTTCAAAAAGCAGCTGTTCAATTTTTTCTTCAACAAGCGTCGAGGCAGATTTGGGCGACATACACTGGATCACTTTGAAATGGCCCATGATGAATTTGACGGCCATTTTTCGGATCAATTCTTTGATTCCAACGGCAAGCGAAGAAATTTTGCCAAGGAGCTCCTCAGAAAAAGCTACTATCATCTTCAGAATGAGCTGTCCCGTTTGGTTGAGGATGCATTGTAGAAGATAAAATGTATCTTCGAATTGGCGGACCTTATCGTGCATCATGGTTTCCAGTGCCTTTAACCTCAGCTTCATGGAGTTGGTAATCATGCATACTTTCATGTAAACAAATATCAGCAGCAAGAGAGCATATGAAACCCAGTCTCTGGACGATAAATGCGCCTCAGTATCATCGTCGCAGCCATGGCTTTCACACTCGGCTTTTATTCGCATAAAAAAACTTTTTATTGGCTCCCTATTGGCTGCCGATTATTTTGCCTCAAAATATTTGACCGAGCCTTGAGGGGTCGGAATAATCGATGGGTTCCCGGGTTTCCAATTAGCAGGGCAAACTATACACGTAGTTACATCCTAACCGTAAATTCTTGCCTTCACCATTGGCATCGGTAAATTGGACTGCTTGGATCAGTCTAATGGCCTCATCAACGCTCCTCCCAATTGGCAGGTCATTGATGGTGGATTGGCGAACTATGCCCTGCTTGTCAACAATAAATAGGCCGCGAAGCGCCACTCCAGAGTCAAGCAGAACCCCAAAGCTTGAAGACAGGGTTTTATCGACATCTGCCAATAATGGAATTCGCATTGGACCCAATCCCCCCTCTTTGCGCGGAAGTTTTGTCCAGGCAAGATGGGAATATTCAGAATCGACGCTTGCAGCGAGCACTTTTACGCCCAGCGCTTCAAACTCGGAAATTCTATCGTTAAATGCAGTCAATTCGGTTGGACAAACGAATGTACTAAAAAATCAAAAGCTGCAGCCCATTACAAATCCAAAGGATAAAACAGCATGACCCAATAGGAGCCTGCAAGATCCGTCGAAGAGATCGAGGAAATTTGCCCATCAACAACGGCCTTTTTGTTTGAAAACTCTGGAGCCCTCTTTCGCACCAATGAGGAGAAAAGGGAAGATCCGATGCAATTGATTTTTCGGCGTATCAATTGATTATTGACATGGAAACACAAATTTGCTAGTGATGATTGCATTAAATTTGAAAAATAAACACTTGTTTTTGATGAAATCAACTTTGCTGATCCACTTTTGCCTCTGTGTTCTCGTTTCGCTCTTGCCAATCTATATTTCAGGGCAATCCGTGAAATACGCACCAACAGGGGCCATCGCTCTCGATGGAAATACCTTGAGTAATAGCATCAGAAAGTTTGAGGCGATATTTCTTATGATCCATGTGCCATGGTGTAACCATTGTGTCAGGGCAATGCCGGAGTTTGAGGAGCTTGCCAAAACGATGGGTGAAAATGGAAGATCCGGCAAGCTTCTGATTGCTACAATCAACGGCGAAGAAAACAGGGATGTTGCAGCAAAGCTCAATGTTAAAGGGTATCCTACTTTCGTGCTTTTGAAAGGAAATATGACGCCCATTCCTTATGCTGATGAAAGAAAGCACATAAGGTTCTTGAACTTTCTATACACCAATATACCTAATCTCAAACAGAGGTCTTCTAATGTAAAAAACCCCCACACTTCCTCCAATCGTCGGCACTACGACCTTTAAGATAGATAATAAAGAGTCCGATATGTTATTTAGACTGGTTTAATGCTTGACTGGCGTTTCCTTTTCCGGTAGGCTTGCTTTTTGTCCGCTTCACCCCAGAAATTGGCGCGTCATCGCTACCCAAAAGGCAAAAAGGGTGTCGTTAAAGCAGGAAAAGGATGGCCATCCTTCACGATTCAGGCTTTGCCAGTTTTTCCTCAATAAATAAAACGAAGCAACCGCGATTTACCAATCCAATGATTTGGCCAGAATTTTTCCCAGTTGGAGCAAATTCACCAATGCATATGACTGCAGGAAAGCTCATCAATGCATATGAGTGCAGGAAAGCTCACCAATGCATATGAGTGCAGGAAAGCTCACCAATGCATATGAGTGCAGGAAAGCTGATCAATACTCTTGTCTTCAAAAAATGACTCCACAATTTATGGAGAAACCTTGCACAAGATTAATCGGTCTTTTTGTAAGGACATCCACAAAATGGGTTTTGTAAGCAAGAAAACCATGTATCGGCATCTTTTTGATAAAAGCAGCCATAACCCATGGAAAACCGATCGGTCGGCCTTATATGCATGATATCTTGATTATGGACCGGATGGAAACCCGTAATCAGAGAGCGTGGCCACTGGTAAAATATCTGAAATCGACAAAATACCCGTTTTGCTCAATTATTTTTAGCTCATTCGAAGATTCTTTTGCCAATGTCTGACCGAACACAATACTTGACGCACTATGCAGATGGTTAGAAATAGAGCGGATTTATAAAGATGAGGCCTAAAAGCCAAGATCGAAATTTAGCGAAAGATAAGAAGAGCTCAGTTGTATTACTGATTTGCTCAAAAGCACATATTCTCCAACAGCAATTTTGAAACTCCTAGAATGGGGATGGCTGGGTCGCTATCCTATCAGGTTTCAGCCCAACCTTCAATGTTCTTAGCGGTGATGTGCATCACGCGACCGGATTTCTATTGGCCACTTGATATTTTACCATTTTAAATTAACCAAATGCGCGATTGAGCCTGGGCCTTGAGTCGGCATCAACTGGTGGGTTAACCCTAGTGCAGTGTTCCGCTTGATCTTAAATGTAATTTTTAAACCGAAACCCTCCTAACCCCTAAATTGACGTCGTCGATGGCTAGGGTTGGGGTATGATGGGTTTCAGGCACCCAAGCTGAGTTAGCACGGTTACTACGAACATGATATTATTGCTTTCTTTTTTAACTATAACGATGATTGAGATAATCAACCATGGCTTTAAACTCTTCAATTGGTAGCATTTCAAATCCCACTTACCTCAATAGGCCAATAGACCAATTTACTAGGCAAGTTAACTCAAGAAGCTGCCGAATCCCACAAAATCAATAAGGTCTTTTGCACATATTATGGGGGTACCTTTTTTGTGATGTCCCGAAACATTGAAGGGAATCCAAGCTTTGGGCCATTTTGGCGACTTTTTTGCCCTTTTAATACAAGTTAGGCATTTAAAATCCAACGTGTAAAAAAGAAAAAAGTGGAAACTGTTTATTTAAACTTGCTAGTAAAGGAGTTAATGATAAACTTGTTACCAGGACTTGGAGTTGATGGACAAATCTATCAGCCAATTTTCCAGATCATTCACAAATGCAGGGACGGAAGTAGCTGCTGTTCCTGGAGGTATGTCTTTATAGAATGGAACAAATCCAACTGTTCTTCTGGAGATAGATTGTGAATGATAGCATCAAGAATGAACTCGAGCGACACAACGGCAGACGACTCGTTTTGATAAACACTGCTACGAAACACAAATGAGGCTGTATACAAATAGGCAAAAATGCCCATCAGTAGCTGGCAGTCCATCCTGTCTGTAAGTCCGCCATGACCGGGAATGGAGTCTGCAAAGTCCTTCATTTTGAATGCCCGTTTCACACCGGAGGCAAAGAAACCACCAAATGGTGCTATGACGGACGAGAAAATGGCAAAGACGATGGCGTGGAGCTGGATTGGGGCTACATTGATTGTGGAATAATCCTCAGTCTTATTACTGCCCCAAGGCGTGAGGAACTGCAAATGCTTCCTTAAAGAAGAAATAAAAGGCGGCAATTTGAAAGGCTTGAATTCGAATGTCGCAGAAGAAGCGCCTGTGGTTCTGCGAAAAGATTAGTTGCAGCGCGCTTACCTATTTTTAAAGGCGGGCGAAGGCATTGGGAGGGTTAAATAGGTGTATGGGGCGAGCCACCCGGCGAGAAAGAATCCAAAAATAATGGTAGCAAATAGTGCCCCGATCAGCCCTTCCCACGTCTTTTTAGGCGAGATTTTGATTAAAGGGGTGCGCCCAAAGAAAAATCCAAAGAGATATGCAGAAATATCGTTACAGATGACAAGACAAACAGGAAGGATAAACCTACACCGATTTTTACATGTGAATTTACCATATCAGGCCCTCCACAATGTTGATGATCACTAGATGCGATTGAAAAGTGACCAGCAGCAGGGTCATATGTGTCCATGCAAATAGGCCAAACTGGAACTTGTAGCAGCCATTTTTTAAATTTAGCACAAAGGCAATCAGACCTAGGAGGTTACAAAACGATCCCAGCAGCTTACCCATCATGTACAAAGAAAACGAAATGAACCGATGGTGATTGGCAAGCGGCAGCAGAAAGGCGTCCAAGATCCATACGCGTTTGAAGTACTTGATCAAGACTTCACCGTACAAAAAGTAATTCGTTGTAATGAGAAAATACCTATCATGGTGATCATTATTAGCGAGCACAAAAAATTACCAGGAAATGGTTCGAAACCACGGGAGCCTGTTGTTTGGCCAGGGCTCGCGCACAAGATCAATGACCTCTTTGAAAATAACAGTCTGCATGATAATGACCATGAGAATAACAAAAATATGTCCAGACCACAGAATCGCCGTAAATCCTACGATCATTGGAATGCTCCACAAAGAGCGAACCAGAAAGTTCTTCCAAGACCTTGGTGTTACGGCCACAGGCGCGGGAATAGGCTTTCTCTTTTCTAACCCATCTTCTGGTGGTGTAGCATGCAATTTAGTGGCAGACCTTCGCCGTGAGACTAAAGAAGCAGGCTCGCAGAGCGGCGACTCGCTCATGTTGATTAAAGTTTGGTTGAAGTAAAATTGACCAACTCAGCTGCAGGGATAAATTTTAATTTAGCGGGGTTAGGGTTGGGCTGGTACCCTATTTTGTTGCAAACGAACATGGCCCATGAACAAATGGAGGGTTCAAGCACATTGGAAGAAAATGGTGCTCATACACCGGGGCCAGATGGCTCTCAAAGCACATTGTCTACCACAAGCGCCATCGATCCAGAGACTGGTGAGATTGATTGGGAATGCCCCTGCTTGGCAGAAGTCCTGAAACCGCCATGCGGCGAGGCATTTAAGGCGGCGTTCTCCTGTTTTGTGAAGAGTACGGCAGAGCCAAAAGGCGAGGATTGCTTGTCATTGTTTGTTGAGATGAATCGGTGCCACCTGGCACATCCCGAAATATATGCCCCACAGGAGGAACCAAGCGAGCAGGAACCTTAGGGCCGCCATTTTAATTTTATAAATACCCTTAGTACACCACTAAATGCCATGTCCTCTTGTATATTGGACCATGCGCCATATGGCCGCAAAATCGACAACCACCAGGCTACCGATGCACAGCTTGCAAATCAACAGACCAGCCGAAAACAGCTTTGCTGCCAAAAAAACTCCCGTGGCCAATAAATTGGAAAGCGGCATGGCTGCAAGCGGACCAGTTAATGTGCGACCGTCGTTCCGGGCAAAGCTGAAAAGCACACGGGTTTCGCCAGATATCGAGCAGCTAGTGCAAAGATTGGTTTTTGATCATCGACAACGAAGAGCAGCACAAGAGGCCCAACCACTTGGCGTATTGATTGGACTTTCATCCTAGGGCCGATTGTATCTCTGGCGAAGCATCCGCAAACAGGCCGAAATTGAGTCACTTTCTTTGACGCAGAACAGCGTGGTTATCGGATTCATCGGCCGAAGCAACGTAGGAAAGTCCTCTTTGCTCAATGCGCTGATTGGGAAACGCAGTGGAACAGCCGCTGGAGTCTCCCCGATCCCTGGACATACCAAGGCCATTAATATTTATCGTTGGATAACTCCCCCATCGGTCAGTGACAACACTGCTGGTCAACGAATGCGGAAAGATGGTTGCCACAGTGGTCACAATCAACGTGGAGGTTCTTTGCAAGCGCATGGTCGCTTAGAGAAGGAGATTTTCCTGATCGACATGCCCGGTTATGGATATGTATCGCAATCTTCCACGGCCAGAGAACGACTTGGGTCGCTGGCCAAGGCATTTATTGCGTCACCAGCCGTACCATTGAGCCGTCTCTTCCTGCTAATCGACTCACGACACGGTACAGATTTTCTTTTCTAAAGCCTAACATGCCTTCCCTTTGTACTCTTTTTACATTCACACTTACGCTTCTTACTTTAAAGGGTTCAAGGTGAATGACAACGAGTTTTTGGCATTCCTCGATGGTACCGGCAGACGGTTCCAAGTGATCCTCACCAAATGCGATCTTGCGCCTCGAAAATTTCTAGCGCACATTTGCCAGGCAACACAAGATGTGAGATGACCTTTTGTAACATGTAGGCACTCGAGTCTTATCGACACGCCACAAACAACGTCCTGGTGGCAAGTGTCAACAGAGCGGCATCTATTGAACATATCCGAGGACAATTAGGCATTCTTAGGCGGACCAGAACCAATCGACAGCCGATGGCATCTACAAAATCGCAATACAAAAGATGCAAGGCAGCCGTTGTGATGCAAGCAAAATCCAAAAGGCAATCCAAAGTTAAGAGGCCAACTAACCCTAAATAAACCAATTTTAATTGCATGGAAAACCTCCATCATGGGCAGGGTGCGTTGTTGCGTTTAAAGGCACGCTGTTTCGTTTAATTGTAGGATGAACGGATAGAGCTGGAGAAAATTCATGCCGCACTTTCTGTGGAACTCTTTTCTCTTCGCAGAGATGTCAATCGCCTCCTTGATGCGCTGATCGCCAAGTCCGGTTCGACAATTCAATGCAGCTCACCAAATCAAGGCCATGAGGAGAAGGAGGACCTTGATTACTCTTCAGAGGATTCTCTTTATGAGACACTCTATGACTCTTATGCTGCAGGTATTCTGCGGAAAGATACGCGCAGGCGTCTCAGCCCGTTGGTGCCATATCCACACTCGAGACACAAGGTTAAGGTATGTCCGGTCTCCACTCATATAGGTGTTGCCGTCCGGTTGGGAGAGCCGTGTGTTGCTACCGTTTGTACTTGGTCGTGCTTTGGTGCGTGTGTCTATATATTCGCTTGGCATGTTGCCGTTTTTCGAAGGCAAGAATGACCAGACCGTGATAGAGCATCTAAAGCCCTACCACACCATAACCTCCATCTACCCCCCTGGCTTTGTGTCTAAGCGCAAATTTTACAACATTCGCGAGCCATCTCGCCGCGTGTACTACCTTTCTACCATCGAGCCTGGTCCACTTTTCAAAATCTACTTGCAGTCGGATCCAACGCTGAAATGGGCTTCTCGACATTCCACAGACGATGCGTTTCAGCAATTAATAAGCGCATTGGCGAGCACGACTGCCATTTCCGATTCTGACTGGCCAATTTTCACATCGGGTGACGATTTTTTTGGCCTGGAGCACCCCGTAGTCCGCAGACAGATCGAGGAGATGCCAGGCGCCTGTTTTTGCATTGGCTACTACCGTTTTGCGGCAGACCCCCTAACATGCACATATCCATAAGCACCCCAATACATCTAGTCATAGTCTTAACGGTGGTAGCACGAAGCTTATATTAGTTTATTTTGATGCTCACTGAGGGTCAGTGGTATCATTAGGTACATCGTTTTGGGCGTCCATTGCAGTTGTACTGCCATCAGTTGAAATAGATTCCGCGGAGGCGGCCTCCACGCGCTGAGCGGCTTCGAAAACCTCGGCAGTACGAGGGGGCGGCGCTGGCTGTTCTGTGGGGAGGCCAAGACGCTCAGCGGCACGATTCGCAAGCATAAGCCGTTCCGTAGCTTCCTCGTATGCACGCGCCCGCTCTATGATGGGATAGAAAAGGTCTTTCATTAGGCAAAGCCGCTTATGGGCAGCAGAAGAGATCTCCTGTGGAGTTAAAGAAGACTGCGAGGAGCATTCCTCATCAGGATAAAGCCATGATTCGGCATCATTCAAAGCTGCCTTAAGTGTGGACTCTTCCTCAGGCGAAGAGAGGAAAGGACAAAAAGAGCCAGAAAGCCCGTCGCGCTTTTCGTAGATAAACTCTTCAAGGGCATTTCGAGCGGTTTCTGCCTCAAACATGGCTCTGTCTGCAGCTGCGAGGTTGGCCTCAACTGTTGCTAAGCGCTGCACTTCTTCTCGCGGTAAAGAATGCGAAGCCAGCGTAGCGACAGCGGCACAAGAAGTCTCACAACGCACCAGCATAGAGGTGTTGCTGCTAGTTGCTTCCGGGGCCTCATTACTATTAGTTTCTGCAGACTCGGAATTAGCCGATGGCGATGAGCGAACCCAGACCGATGCTTTAGGATCGATGGAAATAATTCCCGAAGCGCTGCATCGAACCTTAATTTTAACCTGGGCATCTGAGATAGCATTGGCATCTCCCTCCTGCACTGAGAGAAGGTAGCGCGCTTGAGGCTTGCCCTCTGCCTCCAGGGTCAGCTCTAGCGGCAGTTGTCTCAGTGAAAAAGTGACGGCACGCGAAGCAGGAAGGGCGGTACAGGGCCCTATCAATGCAACGGAAGAGCGATCCCCCATATTTTCCCACGAAAGCACATAAGAAAGCGAGTTGACCGCCCGCACTTCAAACGGGCGTACCTTGAAGACCGGAGAAAGCATTGCACATTGATAGGCGCAACCACGAGCGATCGCTTCATCTTGATTCAGGCCGAGCGAGACAGGAAGTCCGCCGAAGAAGGCTGAGATATGCTCTTTGATGGCGGGAATGCGTGTAGTACCACCTGCCACCTCTATGTGTGTGGGAGTACGAGAAGATGGCGTTGCAGAGCCATCAGCTGTAACTTCAGTATCGGGCGTTGCTTTGGGCGCATCGGCGACTCGTGCCAGGACAGCATGCAGGCGGCCAAAAAAGTCGATTTGTTCTTTCATCACCTGTACAAGTTCTTCGCGTGACAGTATTTCAGACATATCCTGATCATTATACAACGCTTCCACAGACAGCCGCGCAATAGAGGAGGCTGAGAGCATCTTCTTTGCACGTTCGCACGCCATGCGCAGTCGCACCATGGCTTTGGGAGAGGCAGAAAGACCGGCCCATTTTTTTGGAAACTCGCTTTCTAAGCGATTCGCTAAATAGCTAGCAAGTGCTGCATCGATGTCTCGACCGCCAAGAGAGGTGTCCCATGCTTCCCCCAAAACGTGTAAACCTTGTCCCGTGAGGTTACAAAGTTGAACTTGCGTGGAGGAGTGGCCAATGTCCACTATCAACAGCATCATGCCGTCTTTCGGTATGGCATCAAGATGTGAGAGCCCATAGGCAAGCGATGTGGCTGTGCCTTCACCGAGTAGCATTAACGGCCCCAAACCTGCCACCGCAGCAGCATCCATTAGGATGCGGCGATGAGCATCGCCCCAGGAAGCAGGAACGCTAATCACGCAATCACTGATGTTTGGTGCTGCAGCGCCTCCAAGAGCTGTTCGTGTTACACCACGAATGTAACCCAGGAACATTGCTACAGCCTGTACAGCCGTAGCATGGCCCACAAATTCGCCGGTTTGCATATTAAATCCATTCACGCTCTCATATGCATCCAAGTCTCCTGGAGCTGGCTTGTCGCCAGCTGCCAACATGATCAGTCGTTTCAATTGGCCCATGGTCGAATTTAACTTGGACATCTCGAAGGTTTTTGCGGCCTCCCCAATATATCGCCGTCCGGTCGCCATGTCGAAGCAGACCATAGAGGGTGAGAGGCGGTTAGAAACCTCATTCGTGATAACGTCAATGGACCGGTTGCGTGCAACAGCAACCACTGTATTTTGCGATCCAAAATCGATACCGACAACGGACATTAAAACAATAAAAAATCGCCTTCAAGTGTACCTATTAATGCACGGGGAATTTTCTAGAATGTCCCAGAATTCAATTAATTCACAATTAAATTGGTGTAATTTACATGTTCCGCAATGACCAGTCAATCTGCAATGCAAACAACGTATAATTATTGCCGATCGCTAGCGAAATAAAAATATGCTCCATGATCGGATGCATATAGTGGCACTGTTAAATTGTCGGTTGAAGAACTAAAAATAGACGCTAAATATCGGAGTTTTTAAAGTAAACATATTTGGCCATCATGCATGGCAATCCAATTGCGCACTGCGCAACAATTGGCCGAAAATACGGCGCTATATTAAAAAGCTCAAAGAAGTCTTTCTTGTGGATACCAGTGGTAGAAGTTTCCAAAATAATACCGTCGTAAGTGCTAAGTGGCTGGTAGTAGGCTTCCACCGGTTAGAGTTAGGCTTGCTAAAATTAGCGATCGCGAACAAGTCCCCTCCATATGGAGACATAATTTAATGTCGGCAAATAGGCTCCCTAAAACCCAGCGCGCATAAATCTTAAAAAGGTGTAATTGCAACACTGGGCTAAAGAAATGGTTGCTCGATGACCTTTTATTTATGTCTTGGCAGCAATGCGATACCCAGTGAATAGGCGACAAGACTCAGGCTGGTTGTGGCGGCAACGAGCCCAAAGTGCTGAATCGTCGAAAGCTTGCCTAGGAGTGGGTATACCCAGCGTTTGTTCTTAAGAAACAAGAAATGTGACCATGCCAGATATGCACCGTTACATACTACTAGCACCAACCTATGTGTTGCCCGTCGTACGAATGGGCGCGCCAAGAAGGGCGAAAAAAGTAGAAGCTCTGCCCAAACGTAGAAGAAAGGTAAAAGATGCATAGCAATATCACTTTCCACAGCCAAGAGTTCTCCTTTGCGTAGCATATGTGTGGAGGAAAGTAACGAACGGTCAAAAGCACGCAAGATCCAGTAAAGCACTGTGATGAGCGTTTCCATGGGAAATGCAGTAGCAAGAAGCCAATTGCTGACACTTGCTGCGATACGTGCTGCATTGCCGCGATGCCCCTCAATGCGGGCGGAGGAGGTACAATTCTGCAATAGATCGGCACCAGAGGCTACAGCAATAGTGGCCATGGTAACGGCAACACCGAGATACGTTAGGTATTCATATTTGCCTGCGTACTTGCTATTGATGATGAGCTTGATGTAATCTGGGTGTTCCCACCACTGCATGAATCCAAAAAGCGAGGTGCCGAAGAAGAACCCGCGTACACCCATCCGTACCAAAAGAGACGTGTTAAATGCAGGTTTGGCCGCATGTTGCTGATCTTCTGCGGTGCCTGAAGTGGTGAGGTCTTGCTTGGGCGGTTCCTTTTTCCCCATGGAGAAAGGCACACGCGGAGTTTCTGCTTTCTTGGGACTTGATACTGTCATTGGTAGCAAATTTTCCGTGCAAACTGTAACATGTTTTAGTGATAACCCTACCACCAGAGCAAATTACAGCCTGAAAAATCGCAAAATAAGTTAGTTGTTCCTTCAAACAAATTTTGCCACCGGAAACACATCAGAAGGCAACGACAACGACAACGACAACGAAATCACGACCCCAGCCGAAAGTGCGAACCAAAGAGCCTTAATCTGAAATGTAAAAACGACCTACCAAAGGACATAATTTATTAATAAAAGAAAAATCTGTCGATATGCTAGTTAGCGATGCTTATGCAGCACTGTATGCCTCAAAGCATAGAAGGAAGCAAGAGGCGATTGATAACATGAGTTACACCTACGGGAACAGCATGAACTAGTGGAGACCATGGGATCTGCCCCAAAGTTAGTGCTAATGTTGGCATGGCAGCCCAGGAGCCGTCCATTGCAATAACAAGCGGATGTTGTAGCAATGCATCGGCCGTATGGCACTGGCGGATAGCCTCCATTTGAGAGAGCTTCTCTGGCTCATTTCGAGAGGCGCCAGCTGCCAACCAACGCAGCGCCGCCAGCGTCAATGGCACGATGCGAACCCTCGGGCCATCAATTTGACCTTTCGGGATGTCTGCAGGATTATGGGCAGCACTATTTGCAGCGGCTGATGTCAAAAGTATACCGCCATTGTCAAGAATACTTTCCGTTCTGTCTATTTTTTTCACTGCTGGGCCAGTGGGGCCCAGGGCAGGCGAGAGAACCCAGAGCATTTGTGGTTCCTGAAAGGTGCGTTGGCTAACTCGAATGGCTGGCAGGCCACCGGCTCGCGCAAGCATACCAGTAAGAGGACCCGGCCGCGTTTCCTCAATAACACTTTCGGATAAAATTTGCAATGGCATTTGAACAGTGGGCTGGTCATTGGGGAGATAAATTTGAATCCTTCCATCCCAGAGATATATATTTCCAGGCACCAAGAGCAGATTGTCAACCATCCGACGTTCCGGAGAAATGCTCGCAGCACTTGGATGCTCAGGCATCCGTGGTGCTGGCGTAATGCCAAGAAGCGGCCCGCCAACATGCACCAAGTTACGCCTTGAAGCTTCGATAGCACCAAGAGGAGAGACTACACATCGCCCGAACGAAAACGCACGGATAAACGGAAGTTTTTGCGTGCGAGAGATACGCAAGTCCTCAAAATAGCCACTAGATGGCTGTGTCTTTGAGTCTGCAAGAAGAGTACGGTTTCCATGATGTGCTGACTGTGGCATGATTGTAGGTTGGGACCGCTGACGTTTTGCCTGCCGAGTGCGGATAAGCGCAGAAGCGACAATTGCTTCTGAAAAAGCAAGCAAAGTCGTCTGTGACGAAGCCAAATGAGTGCCTCCAACACCTTCCGCAGCCAGAGAAAGCACTCGCATTAGTAGCCCGGAATTACGCCACCATCGCTGATGCAGCGGTAGTGCTATCACGGCACTGGGACTGGCCGCAAAGTTTCCAGAAACCCAGGGCCAAGATCTGCCCTCTCCATTTCGAGTCGCAGCAAAAAGGTTTTCTGTGGCGGCTGCTCGTAACTGACGACGCAGCTCCTCACGATGTTTCTTGGCAGATTCCATAAGGGCATAAAGGTCGCTAATCGATACAGGAGAGCTTTTGAGCAGCGTTTGAATACCCTCTCTGACGGAGTTGCGTAATGAATTTTCGAAATGGCTGTTTGAGAGGTCCTCCAGAAAATCAAGACCCAATGCGCCGCATGTGCTTACTAGCCGAATTTTTGGAAATCCCAATAATGGTCGCCCTAACATCAACGGCGGAACTCCAGAAGCTTCCAGATCTTCAAGGCAACTCAGTTGTCGAGAAGTGACAGGTGTTCCGGAAAGGATGCTTAGGGGACGCATCCCTGCCAGCCCTTCCATGCCAGAATAGCGCGAGAGCCGCATAAAATATGTGCAGAGATCATCGTCGAGATGATGAGCGCACAATATCAGTGAGAGGTCCGAGCTCAATGCGGTGTCACGCAAGGCAGCATAGCGCATCTCACGACATCTCTGTTGTACGCTTCCCTTGCCGACAATCACTTTGGAATGGGCACTTTGGAGATCTTTGCTCAAACTCTTTGTCTGGGCGTTCGCATGCGGTAGAAGATTATTTAGAGGTAATAAAATATGCTGTACGCCCAAGGGCCGAACAAGATCTTGGATCATGGAGGTGGGCTCGCCACCATCTTCTGGTGGCCCATGCGTGACGGTTAAAGCGACAACACGCTCACGCCCAAGAGCTGCCACTGTCAATCCCAATAGCGCCATAGAGTCTGGACCGCCAGAGAGTGCTACGCCCACTTTCGTGTTTGGAGAGTTGGCAGGGATCTTTGCTGCTGCTAACATACGCCCAAACATTGTTTGATATTCCTGGATGGAGATGGGATCACGCCGCGCCCCTGTGAAACAGTATTGCGCGACAAATGACTCCACATGCTCTACCACCCGATATCCCCGTACAGCCATTGGATTGGATGGGAAAGTCTGGCCTGCAACTAATTTTACACTTTTAAACATTAAAAGTTAATTATGGATGTCTTGTTAAGGATACACAAAGGGAATAATGTTTGTGTGGAGGGGCGTCGGCCCGTCACCGGCAAAGGCCAGGCGGTTTCTTGTCCCCGCATCGATCTCCTCGGCGCATCTACCTATAGGTTGATGACTGGCGGCTGCCCAGGCGCGGGGCCTCGGGCTGCCGTGGCTGCCGAGTGGCTTTTTTGATCAAATGTTCAATGCAGCGGTTTGGTTTTACCCCAGTTTCAAAATTTCGGTTTATGGGAGAACATAAATTTTACACTTCATTAATTTGTTAATTTGTCAATTGGCTAATTGGTTCCCATTACACCGCCTCATGTCGCCATCCATATTTACACCGCAAAACAATCAAAAGTTGACCAACGTAGCTGTGGTGCGGCTTCGATGTAACGGAGTTCGCTTCGAAATTGCGTGTTATAAGAACAAGTTGCAGGACTATAGAAATAATCCCGTTTCCACGCCGCTTTCCGAAGTCCTACAAAGCGACCAGGTTTTCCTCAACGTTTCCAAAGGGCTTCTTGCCAAAGCACAAGATTTGCAGCGTGCTTTTGGTAGTACCGACAGCACTATCGCTATCAGAGAGGTAATTCGGCTTTCAACCTCCCCTTTATGATTTTTTAACCATTTACCCTGCAGCCTGATAATCCTTATGATTTTTCCGCCTCTAATTTCAAGATCCTTGATCGGGGAGAAGGGCAGGTTGGCGCTGCAGAGCGTTCGCATCTAACTGAAAGTATGCGGCGAGATATTGCTGTCATCATCGCAGAGAAGACACTGAATCCAGAGAACGGACGCCCATACACTCCCTCTATGATCGAGCGTGTGCTGGTGAACGATGTCCATCTGTCTATCCGTACGGACGATACGGCCAAGCAGCAGGTATGCTATCGTATTCCCACTGATTACAGGCGTTGGAGATAATTAGGCAATTGGAACAGCGCCAGCCATTTCCTATTGTGCGGCGTGACCGCTCCCAATAAGTATGGCAATGCTTGTGTTGAAGCGTATTAAAAGCTCACCCATCAACCCTAAATCTTGATCGAATGCATATGTAAATGGGCGCCATCAATTGGTCAATAAATCCGAGCCTTTTCTATTTAAATGCAGTCACGCAGCCTATGAGTTAGTGTGAAAACTGCAAGTAGAAGTCTTTGGATAACTATACATATGCATGTGCATGTTAATGTGCATCCAATTTATCTTTCGTTACTCGTTTGACTTTTGCATTGCTTTTAAACCGCTCAGGGATCGAATACCCCGTACCCTTGTTCCTCGAGTGTTGAGGAAATAAATCAAGCATCGGAATCGAGACATTAGGAAAAATCCAGAACACTGATTCAAAAGCCATCCGCTTTTCCTGGGCCTATTAGGACCTAAAATTCTGAAAATCATGTGTGCATGGAGCTCTACCGCTGAGAGAGGCTCGAGTAATTTCTTTCAATTGCTAGGGGGTGCTCCCGGACCTATAAACCCTAACCCTAATTAAAATACAACGATGCCAAATACTATGTGGTTGTGGAACGTATAATCGAATTTAGCCAACGCTAGCCTGGGAGCTTTGGTAGCCTATTTATATGCCAATCGCACTTTTCACTAATGTTGGGAGCCAGGAACCTCAGCTCTTTCTCATCGAGATGCAGGGTGTTTTAGAGCACAGCATAGGGGAGGGGCACATCGACTGCGGGAAGGATCTCGTCATGATATCTGTGGGCGATACTCCGCAGCTCCGCCTCGGCCACCAACTGTTGGAGGGCAAGCGAGTCAAGCTTGAAAAGCCATTGCTTCTTATCAAAGTAGGAATATTGTTTTAACCTAGAAAACTGTCCCTACGATCGAGGATGTTTCTGCCACGCATGCTCTGCACATACAAATGGTTTTTCGGGAAAAGCTTGTGTTTTCTCAACGTCCATCGCATGTGTGAAAAGCCAAGCTCGCCTGGACAAAGCTTGTCGCGCCATTTCCATTGATAAATATGTCAAAATACCTTTCAGCTAAAAGAAATTGATTTATTCAGCAATGAGCACTAACGGGGCTGTGTGCCCGTCGATTGTGCAGCGCTGGAGGCCGCTTGCTTTCCTTTCTCTGCCAGCCCCCTTACTGACTCTGTGAGCGACCAGGCACCGCCAGAAAGGTTGCAATACAGCATGGTAATACCGCGGTACGAGAGGTATATTCCGAAGAGCCAGCTGAAGACAACCCCGGTTATCAGTGTAACGCCGCCCAAGATGACGAGCAGAACTCCGGCACCTGTAAACAACATGGCACCTTCGACAATTGCAAAGCCAACAAGTGCCACGGAAAGCGTTGCTGCGACGGTCACTGCAGCAAACAGAACGAATATGGAGATCGGAAGTGCCGAAAAGGCAAGAAGGGTAAAGATAAAAGCAGCAAGTGGTGGATATCGGTTTACGTAGACGCGAATGACCTCGCCCAGCTTCTGGGCCCTCTCCTGAAAGTAGGTTACCACCTGCTGTGTTCTGTGGATAAATGTTCGCTGCTTTTGTTGCAGTTGGGCTGTGGCTTGTGACGCTGCTTGCTCCATGATAAAACGATGGCTTGTTTCTTTTGCTGTTAAATAGACTTGTGAGTGTTAAACTTTAGTATGATGACAGTCTGTGATTGACTTTCAACGAGCTGCCGTTAATTAAACTTTAATTAATCGAAATTGTACCAAATTCGCATGATTTATCAACATAGCATGCTGCTGTCAGCGCAAATTAAAACAACAATTTCCACTTAAAATGCCAAACCGAAAAGATTTTAGCAATAATTTAAATGGCGTCCTTTTGATGTCGCGTCAATGTAGAAAGATACCATGATATTAAACCCGCCAATCTCGGTAATACTTTAATAAATGTCACATTTGTATGGTGAATAAGCATTTTGGATCGGGTTTGCTCGAGTTTTTATGAGAAACGACACTGTTTAAAAAAACGTAGGAATCTGATGTTCGTTATTTTTCAAACTCTTCGAAAACCTTGCCCTCAATGCTCAAAAAGGTAAATGCGAAGGACCTCGTATCGAAAATATTATGCAAGTGGTTGATGCGTTCGAAATGCTCAGGTTCGGTCGTGTACTTTGTCGATTGAAAATTGAAATGCATTCCATTGCTATGCTTAGGAGTATGCTGATGCGCAGCTTTTTAGAAGCCTCTTTGTATCCAGCTAAAGCTAACCGACATCGCTTGATGCTCTATTAATCCTAAATATCAATTTAATACAGAAGCCCTAGCATAAAAAGTGCACCAGAACCTATCGAGCGAAGACTTTTCTTCCATGCAAAAGATATTACCCGAGCTCATTCATCTTGAGGCACAAGACATTGCAAGAGATTTGGAAACATTGCCTCAAAAACTTTTAAGGTTGAAGCCTAACGCGACCAGTGACTTTGTGATTTCCCGCTATGAAGTTGTTAAAATTGCTATTGGAAGGTGCGTGCTTTTGAGCAAAGTTGGTGTTAGAGCTGAGCTTTGGGAATCCCATGATGCACCAGACTCAATCACCCTCCTATTGGAGAAATCAGCTCAAGTGTTGTCATTATTAGCTATTGATTTCAAAAAAATTTAATATAGAAGCTGAGATACCTTAGCAAACTCAAATGTATTGCAACTTAATTTCTTATCACGAGCTTTTGCTGGCCCATCAAAAGGAGAGGAATTCCACAGGCGCAAATCGGAAGGCGTAGCTCGGCATTCGCTACTCGGCATTCGTAGCTCGACATTCGCTACAGGTGCCCCAGGCCCGCATATGATTGCCTTTTTACGGTATTGAAATTTAATTTTTGGAAGAATTTGAATATTGCTTTGAGATGATCTTTGCAATAGTCTGCAGCTGGATGTTACTTGTGCCTTCGTAAATAGCTCCAATTTTGCAATCTCTATAATACTTTTCGACGGGAATTTCCTTGGTAATTCCGATGCCACCCATCCATTCAATGCATTTGGATGATGCTCGCTCCGCAATTTGGGATGAAAACAGTTTAGCCATTGCCGCCTCCTTGATGAAAGGCTCTCCTGCCTCCTTTAGGCGGGCAGCATTGTATGTCAATAATCTTGCAGCCTCAATTTCAGTGGCGATCTGGGCATACTGATGCTGCATTCCCTACCAATTGATACCCAAGAAAAAGACCTGGAATTCGCCAATTGGTTTTCCAAATTGCTTCCTCTCCGATAAATAGGGAAGAGTAGCATCAAAAGCTCCCTGGGCAAGACCGATCATCTGAGCAGCTATCCCAATTCTGCCCTCATTTAAAATATCAATTGCATATTTGTATCCTTCTCCTATTTTGCCGAGTAGTCTATTTGCGGGAATTTTAAGATTTTCCATGGTAACGGTGCAGGTAGACGAGGCTCTTATACCGAGCTAGGGCATTAACATAAAGCTCGTAAGTGGTACTTTGTTTTCTTTTTTTCCAATAATGACGCCATCGGCCTTTTCCACAATGAAACATGATATTCCCTTGTATCCCAGCGAGGGATCTACTGTTGCAAATATGAGAAATATTTCGGCTTCATAAGAGTTGGTGATCCACATTTTGGTTCCGTTTAAAATAAACGAATCGCCATCCTTTTTTGCGTGCGTTTTTAAAGCGAAAGCATCAGAGCCGGATCCGCTCTCGGAGAGACAAAACGAGCCAACCTAAAGACAAGTGCGTCAAACGTACGGAATGCGAGGCAAGTTTTGTAAGGTACTTTTCCTTTTGCTCGTGAGTGGCATATTTTTTAAAAAGCGTATTGACGAGCGTGTTCTTGGAAATTGGACAATTATCATCTTACGTGGACATCGCACAGAGCACCGACTGAGGGATCGATTTTCGAGAGTTCTATGCCACAAAGGTCCTAAATGTACCTTCAACAGTAATCAAAGCACTGGTAAAGGAGAGACCTGCACCTCCGTATTCAGAAGGAATCTCAACCCCCATCAACTAGTCAAGATATCAACCAATGACGCTCATACCCCTTGCTCAAATAGCTCTTTTATCATTTGCCGATCCATATTTCCAGACTCATCCATTTGGGAAACAATAGGCTTGATCCGAGCATTTGCTAGCTTGGAGACTATTGCAATTAAGGAAACGAAGCACACCCAATTCCCGTATCATAAGCTCATCTTCTCTGAAGTGGAAGAGCGAGGTGGGAGATTCGGAAATAAGGGACGAGAAGTAAGCCTTTTTCATGCATGTTTTGAGCTTAGAGAAGCAATGGCGAGACTGCAGAAACATTTAAAACGAATGCTCGCTTGGGAGTATAAATCAGCAGCAATTGATCAATCTGCGTTACAGGCACTCGACATCGCTCAATTCACAATTTAGGGGCTAGGGTTGTTTTTTTGTAAAATACTTGCATGTTCCTTCTTGGTAAGAGCTTGAGACCCGAAAAGCACGTCATTTATGCACTGACGCAATTCTACGGGGTAGGGCTGGCCACTTCAAAGAGGCTTTGTAACAGCGCTAGCGTTCATCGGCTGTGCAAAGTTAAGGAGCTCGATGAAACCCACATTTCCAAACTTAAGCCCCTGATACAGGAAATTTTAGACGAGGGTGCCAAAAACCGGCTGCTTAAACTTAAAATACAAAGCGTCGCTAGTGTTCATAAATAAAGGGTTAATAACTCGGGATATGTAAGGCTTAATAACTCGGGATATGTAAGGCTTAATTTATGCGTTAGCTCATTGAAAAAAAAAGATGCTCCTTGGACGTGGTGCCGGTTTTGGCGCTTTCGTGGGCATATTCAATTTCAATATCCAAATTCCGACAATTGACGGCATTTGGAGCAACAGAAATCGTACCGTTGATGGTCTCTCCCTTTGAAACGAGAAGAACTTTCTTCAAGTAAAAAATGGTCTGCTTCCAGTGGGTGTACTTATCTCTAGGCCCTGTGGAAAAAGAAATTGGCTTGTGGCAGGCGCTGAATGTAACATCAAAATAAGACAAAAATGCATGCAAATAGTCGTTCTTGGTGGTTAGCAATGAAAATGGGACTTTAAACGACAAGTCTTCTTTTTTAAGCGTCATTAAATTAAGCGAGCAAAACAGGAAAGGCTCTGTCACAATTGCATTGGGTTCGACAGTATCGACCAACGGCTCCTGGAGAGCCAGCTTTTTGATGGGCGACATGTTGAATCCATAGACATCTTCCCAAAAGTGTATCTTTTCGTCTTTGTATTGGGCGTCTTCAATTCCCAGCAAATACATATTGGCAGAATCAGGAAGCATCAAGCCGTGGACAGGGTCAAGGTATCGGTCGCGCGCCCAAAGAACCGTATCAAACATGTTCTCGTAAAGGAGAAAGTAGCCCATCCATTCACTGATGATTATGTCAACCTTTTGGACGGGAAGCTCGACCTCCTCCATCTTTCCTTTTAGAAGCAGGATTTCTTAAATAACAATAAAAATGGCATCACTTACTGTCAGAAAATCCATTAATCGCAACTATCTCGCGGGCATGGTCAATCATATCGGACATGTCGACACCGATGACCAAGCGAGCCCCAGCCTTGACAGCAAACATGGACAATATTGCAGTTCCACATCCAATATCAAGAACAACCTTGTCCTTAAATAGATGGCGATTCGAACAAATGGCATCCTTGTAGCTAAGCGTCCTAACGCGATCTTTGAGCATCTCTTCATGGATTCCAAAATGCGAGTACGAGTCAAAGTAATAATCAAGGCCAGTTGAACTGCCATCGGCGCCTTCGCTCCTGCTTTTATGGGACGAAGACATTAAAAATTTGCAGATAAAAAATGCGTAATTAATTAATTAATTAATTTTTTCAAATGGCAAAAAGCAGCATACCCGAGTTGAAAAAGTGCCCATGAATTAAGCTTTACCTTGATAGGTTTATGGAAAAGCGATTGATGCTGCAGCTAAACTGCAGTCGGAAGGTGTCAGGTACCCTAAGAGGCTACGATCCATTTATGAATTTGGTCATTGAAGATGCATTTGAGGAGCCTTTGCACGAGCCTCTTGGATCGGTGGTATTGAGTTCAACTTTTAACTTCAAGGTAATTCGCGGGAATACGGTCATCATGATTGAAAGCGTAGACAGGTTGTGATTTCATCCCATTTTAAATAAATGGACTAATGGATTCTTTGAGGGGACACTTTATTAATTACCTTTGCATAAATGTAAGCGACACTCGCTCAGCAGAGTGACGATTGGAGCGCGTTGGATTTCATTTTTTGATCCGTGGTGAGAGGATTGATCTTATAAGATGCAGGGCACGATCTGACAAGCTGGACAATTCTAAAAATGGAATATGTCAGAGTGAACAGTGACAAAAGTCCGAAAAGAACCAGTAAAAGCCGATATCCTTCAGGTGGTGTATATGTAAATATGCCCTTAATATTGATCTCTTCAAATGGGGCAATTTCTGGAGCCTCTTCAAATGGGGCAATGTTTGGAGCCTCTTCGAAGAGAGGCAAGGCTTTCGCTTCGCTTACAAAATAGTACGCTTCATTGAAATTATTGGTAAACTGGGTATATTTAGGCCGCAAGAAGCTAGAATTCACCTGAAAAGGGGAATGTGTGGTCATGAAGAGTTGGGGGTAAGGTAGCGGATTGCCAACAGATTGTCAACGGATAGCGAGCGACGTATTAGCTCACATCAGTTTGAATTGATTTTGAAACGGCAGGTCCCAATGATTTTCATTTTCGCAAATTTTATTATTTWATTTTCGAGGCACATGGTGAGAAAGGCAACGCAAGCGACAAAGCACAAGGTTTTTCATGTCCATTTTATTCCATAGCAAAAGGCAAGCTCGTGGAGGTCAAAAATAATCGCAAAAGAAAAAAAGATCGCTCTAAAGCAACAAGACTTTCCCATGGACCACATGGCACATCGTATTGACTTGATCGGGGAAAAAGAGGACCTCAATTTGAAGGGCTCTCAGACACACATACAACGGCGCAGTAAAAAGATCACGCGGAAAAACGAGCTTGCTCGCCTTTCGGAGGTGTATACACGCCCCGAGTTGATAAAGAACCCATTTCAAGCCATCGAAACGCACATTTCGAATGTGAATAAATTGCAGAATGGTGGTTAAGAATTTTAAAATGTGCCGAGTCCATCCGTCCATAACGTCGACTTGTCCCATTTGGAAGATTTCCAATGCAAAGAACTTTAGCAGAGATGTCCAAGTCCTTGTTCAGGGTGCATTGAAAGCAGCTATCATTTTCAAGTGGGAACCTATCAGCCAAAGCAGGTTCAAGAATCTCAATCAGTATTCCTATAAGCTGGGCATGGCAATTATATCCATCAAACAGATGCAAAACTTAAATGGAACATATGGCGCAGAAAAAAAGTCGGTTCCAACCGATATCCTTTCGTTTCCTTGTCAGTTTGACGAGACGTTTTGCCGCCATGCGATCGAGGATCCAAAGTTTAATGATGACAAAGAAATAGATCTAGGTGACATATTCCTATGTCCAGAATGGATCCTTAGAAAGTATCGAATTTGCCCTACTGCCTCATATGGACATCAGATACTGTTGGGCCGTGCCATGGGATATAGGGTTTTGCTCAAGCTGCTTGTGCATGGGATCGTGCATCTGCTTGGTCTTGATCACTATAGAACAGCCTCAGAGACCATTCAAATGAGGAGAATAGAAAAGGCGGCCCTTTGCTATTTTCTGGTTGTTTCCAACAAGACAGGGTATTTCCGTTCTCGATCTTTGCCGTCGCTCCAACAGCGGTTCAATTGGGGTTATTTGCATCGAAGTAGCGCCAAATTTTAATAAGTTGTAAATTTTTTGATGTGATTTGAAATTAGCACGAAACAACCAATTCCCTCATCGCTGATTGGTTGATCGGTTTCATCACGATTTACAAATTTTGCTACAAAAGGAAAAGGGGCCATCAACAAATTTGTTATGCCCGAGTTTCGCACCGAGCGTGTTCGCCAGCTCATAGAGAGCAAACCACGATCCCTCCTGGAGGCCGGAGATAACGCGTTATCATCGCCATCCAAACCTGTGAACAACTCGACAATCTTTGCTACGATATTTGGTGAGCAGGTTTTTGGCCGTCGTCAAATGGAGGCTTGTCTTCCAAAGCCGGTATTTTCTGCGTTTTTGGATCAAATATGCAAGGGAACAACTATGGATAAAAGCACGTGTGATGCGATCGCTCATGCAGCTCGAGTTTGGGCCCAGGAGAAGGGGGCCACCCACTTTACGCACTGGTTCCAGCCCCACACAAACTCCACCGCAGAAAAGCATGATTCTTTCTTGTCTCTAAAAATGAGTGCAACGGAGATGGGATTTGAATCTACACCAATTGATGCCTTTTCGGGGTCTTCCCTGTTGCAGGCAGAACCAGATGCCTCCAGCTTTCCGAATGGCGGTGCAAGAACAACTTTCGAAGCTCGTGGATATACTGTTTGGGACCCATCTTCCCCGATGTTCATTCAAAAGGGACCCCATGGAACTTCTGTGCTTTACATTCCATCTATTTTTCTCAGGTAAGTTTGCGATTTTGTAACCATTTAGCTATAATGGCGATGCTTTGGATGAGAAAACTGGCCTTTTACGCTCCATCGATGCAGTGGCAAAGGCATCTTGCCGTCTTATCAAGTTTCTGGGAAATGACAAGGCTGCAGATGCAGATGTCAGAGTCATCCCCACACTTGGGTGTGAGCAAGAGTTTTTCTTGATCGACCGTAGCCTATATGCCCACAGGCCAGATTTGAGGCTCACCGGAAGAACTCTGCTTGGGAAAATGCCACCAAAGCATCAACAGCTGGAAGACCATTATTTTGGCAACATTCCATCTCGCGTTTTAGCTGCAATTTCAGAGGCAGAGTTGGAGCTTTGGAAGTTAGGGGTCCCCATCAAGACCAGACACAACGAAGTGGCTCCAAATCAATTTGAAGTTGCCCCCATCTTTGAAGATGCCAATATTTCGGTGGACCACAATTTGTTGACCATGGAAGTGATCCACAAAGTCGCTCATCGCCACAACCTCAAGGCTCTATTTCACGAGAAGCCATTCGCTGGAGTAAATGGATCCGGAAAACATTGTAACTGGTCTCTGTTGACATCATCTGGAGTTAATATGCTGGAGCCAGGAAATGCCCCAGAAGAGAACATTCTTTTTCTCGCCACTCTTTTGGCTGTTCTGATGGCAGTTCAGGATCACGGACCGCTTTTGAGAGCCGCTGTGGCATCTGCCTCAAATGATCATCGCCTGGGGGCCAATGAGGCGCCACCGGCAATTGTTTCTGTCTTTCTTGGGGCCTATCTTTCGGAGGTTTTGAATTCCATCGAAAATGGCCAGTCTCCACAAAATCTTTACCGCCCCACTTTGAAATCTATTTCCGTAGGGAGAAGGACCCTTGATGTGAAACTTTCCTCGATGCCCGAGATCTGCCAAGATCCTACTGATCGCAATAGGACATCTCCATTTGCCTTCACTGGAAACAAGTTCGAGTTTCGTGCCGTCGGTTCAAAGCAAAGTCCCTCGTTTCCTGTTGCCGTCCTGAACTCTGGTGTCGCCGAGGCGATGAATTATATTTGTGACCGATTGGAGAGTGGCGACAATGCAATGGCACTGATCCGCCAGCTGATCTCGAAGACCAAGTCTGTTCGATTTGAGGGCGACAACTACTCAAAAGAATGGGAGGTTGAGGCCGAGCGCAGAGGTCTCCTCAACATCAAAACATCGCCAAATTCATATTCGCTATTGAGCAAATCTAATCATCGAGAAATGCTTATCGAAAAATGCAAGGTTTATTCGGAAGCAGAACTGAACGCTCGCTTCCATGTACTTCTGGAGAAGTATGCGAAAGATTTATTGATTGAATCCAGAACGATGGTTTCAATGGTGCGCCAATTTGTGCTCCCCGTGGCTTTCAAGTACCGCAGGGAATTGATGAGTGGAGTTACACTTCAAGTTTCATCTTCCTTTCCTCACAAGCAGCCACTTGAGGATGTCTTGTCTTCTTCGTTAAAGATCAACGCTGCTGAGCAGGATACCTGCCAAAGACTTTCTCTTGAAATCGATTCTGCTTATAGAGTCCTTCTTCAGCTCGAGAGCGAGGTTGAAAAAGTTGAAGCAATTGAGCACCAAAATGGAGACCCCCTTTGCCAGTCCCTTGCTGCTGAAAAGCTGACATTGCTTATGTCGGAATTGCGAGTACATGTGGATAAACTCGAGGAGCTTTCCCCGGATGAGTACTGGCAGTTGCCCAAGTATTCTGACATTTTTTTCAATTGAGTCAACCGAATTTGATCTGCCAATAAAGAATACGCATTGAATTGCTTAAAAAGTGAATGTAAGCCGATTTTGTGGCTGTTTATGGTGGTGGTCAGTGTAGGTAGCATATTCAGCTTTGCCAAAAAATCAACTTAAATTGTCTCACTTCCAATGATCAATTATGAAGCCGCTTTGCGTGGGTTTTAGTATGCTTTGTGTTGTAATAAACGGAATTATGGAAAGGGTGACACTTTTTTTCAACACTGCATGGCGTAAAAGCTGCAAATCGGGTCGATAGACAAATCAGAGTGCAACCGTAATAATTAACTTGGGAATTAAATTGGATTAAATTCTGCGGTGAGACAAATGCGTATTTGAAGGTAACAAGGTAAAAAGGTTTTCAAAGAGATCATATCAATGCAAGTTTAGAAGATAATCCAAAGGGTTATATTCCCTGCCTCGAGATTTTAATTCACTCCTGACTGTCTTTTGAAAGCTGGCATAAATAGCAAATTTGATGTGGTCTCGTTTTCAAAGGACCTGAAGAGTACCGTGTTGAGTCTTGAGCTAGGTAAGCGGGTTAGCTAAACACACAATTAAAGAAATGCCCAGGCACATTACAAAAAGAAATAATAAAGCTAAGCTGATGGGTATACCTATGCAAGTATGCGGTGTGGGCTACTTGCAGAAGTGCTCCTAACACCAAATTCTGGAAACACAAATAAAAGCAGACTGTTATTTAGGCAGTTTGAGGAAACCCGTTCGGCCAATATTTGGAAATTGTTCCATGATGCATGGGAATCGTCGAGGATGTCATTTTGCGAAGAATGTATACAATACTAATTTTAAATTCGATGGATTCCTCTAAAAACTGATATTTTTTAATCGTCCTAAATATGAAATTTATTGCTTTACAAGGTTAGTGTTTGGGCGTCGCAATTCAACCGCAGAAAAAGCTCAAATTGAAAATTTTCGAGCTCTGACAATTGAACACTCATTTCCTCGATTTCAAACAACTTTAACAGGTTTGAACATTTCTATTTTTTCTATGCTGAGAAATTGAAATCTTGGCGGGTTTTCTTATTTCACCTATGAGGGTGTTAGCTTTGTTTCGGGTTGAGATATCTTCTTTTAACCTTCAAACTTCCGCTTGTAGCGTATGAAGAGCTACACGTCGATTATCCTTAGCTCCTTCAACTATCAGAATGATCAGAAACAACCCGTTTTGGATTCTCATTAGGCAGGCCGTTTCTCAAAAATC